ATTTTCTTTAATGAAATTGAATAATTTTTGTTCAGTCTTAATTCAAACGCATCTTAAATCATCTTCATTTTGGAAGATCAAGGGAATTTAATTTTACGAAATAAATTATCGTCGATTTCTTATTTTTTCTCTCTTGGGATTTATCTCTTTTTTTTGTTTGTTGTTTTTTATAAGTAACATACCTGGATAAGATATGAGACCAGTATTTGATAGGACGATATCACTGCACATCCAAGTGAGCCGTCTTCTGCAAGTTGACTACTAACAACGCGGCTGGTAATCGCGATTCCACGTTTCCCCGACACGGATGAGTTTACAGTATCGACGGTGGGGAGCGGGAAATTACGATCCCATACTAATGGAATTTCTAATGGACGATTCAAGAGATGATCAATATCTTTCATTCAAAGTACGTACTTGCAAAATTATTCTAGATGCTAGAATACACTTTGAAAAATTCAGACATCGAGAAATAAAATGTACGGCTCAAAGAGTTAAACACGTTGGACACGCTTACAAAAGCATACTCGAAATTATTCGGCCGTTGTTCGTGCGAATAAACCGTGCCCGGCGGCGGCGGTCATACANAAGTACGTACTTGCAAAATTATTCTAGATGCTAGAATACACTTTGAAAAAAAAAAAGAGAAGATAAACGTCACGTCATAGATAGAAATTGCAAACTTCGAATTGCCGTGGATTTTATCGTAAAAGACAAACCTGTAACCTGTAAGCGATACAAAAGCGCGATTTAGACAGAGAAAGCGAAGAATATGTATCTTTTCACGTTTAAGATGAAAATTACGCGCGTTCTACGTTGCACGTCAGCTGGCGAAACATTGAACTCATGTTTGACGTACCGTGATTTGATCGTGTAATTAAAGTAAAGACGGACGCGCAACATAATTACAATTGATTTACTGTTCACCGCGCTGCCAAATTAGCTGTTACGTGATAACGAGGCGAGCGAGCTAACTGTAATCCAAAGATCTACGCCAGCGAGATAATAATTACGTATGCGAGGTAAACTTGAAACTCAAGAAAATATCTTCGCGATATTAGATAACATTGTCGCAATATACGAAGCGGAAAATATGAGATGTCTGTTGTAAATCGCATTTTTAATTGAGCCTACTAAGCCAAACCTTGTCGATTCACAGATATTTTCATTAAACTTAATTTTATTCAGTCAAAATTATTTGTTACTTGATTTGTCATCAATGAAGTAGCAAGGTTTGCATAACAACAGTGATCGAATAAATGAAAGTGGCACACGTCGTTACTCATTGCTTGCCTCTTCTTTTTGTCTTTCCTCCGCAGCGAATGAACCGATCGAATTGATCATATTTTAATATCTCGCTCCACTTTGCAGGAGGAACCTTCTGTGGAAGAATAATTTCGCCGGTCCCCGAACATGCTGTTCAGGGACCGAATGGGGTCAATGTGCCACATCAGCGTCCCAGACTCACCTGCGCAGGAATGTAGAGATTCTGACGCACCTCTGACGCACGATATCACCATCTTGCTGGTGTAAATGAGCGCGATGCACGCGACGCCCTGTGTTAAATGATTAGATTTACAAGATTATTCCTTTGCTTCTACATGCCAAAGGTAAGATTTTCTTCTTACATTGAACTCGTCAAGAACAAACGCAACAATTGTCGCATAATTCTTGTACGAATACACACACACACACATATATATCGCGACATGTCCTTCTCGACAGGATTATTCATCTCCACCGGTTTTCAATTTTGTGTAACTAAGGTTTAATTTAAATATTGCGACAATGCACGCATAATGCACAAAGGAATTGTCGTGTTACGTGTGCGCGAGAGACAAGAATTGATTATGAAAACAGGCACGAGAACGAAACGGAGAAACCCACGAAAGAATGCGGAATCACTGCTGAATCGAAGGGGTCGGACACGGTGTTGTAGTTGTGCGCAATTCTTTCGCCTTTCCTCGCATCCTCCGCCGCGGACCGACGCGCCGTTGTTACAAAACGCTGCGCTGCAAACATTTAATATAGAAAGTGCACTGGTTTGCAAGTAGAAATATATCTAAAGAGAAATCTGCACGAATACGTATGCACTTTTGTGCGATCCTGCGGCTAGAGAAAAAGTATAATTTCAGATGTGCTGATTCTTGCGTTCGTTCTTAAATGTAGCACTTATTTTCGCTAGCAATCTGAGTGTTCTGTAACTTGTAGTGAGCGCTACGTAAACATAAATTTGGAAGCAGATTCTCGAAATAAATATGTAATCAGATAAAACGTCCGATTTATCTTATCGAGCAACAATTGTTTCCTTTGTCATCTGGTATCGCTTGGGCATATATGCATACGTGGAATTGATACGTGGAGGGTATCACACGTGTGCAAAGAATGCCGCAAAAAATTACTGACGGCTGCCAATAACAAACAACCACGCGTGCAACTTTCACAAACACTCTTGCATACCAACGTGTAAATATTTTACAGAGGAAATGCACTCGTCCGCGGACGATAGCAATTGTGTGTACACACCGGAAACATTGGAAAAAAATCGATGTTTCGTGTTAACGCAAGTCATGTCGATCGTTGCAAGTACCGAATGATTTACAGAATGTTCCAGAATAATCGCATGAAAGTTGCACTGGTGGATTCTTGGTACCAAACAACGCAACTTTTCATTTACCAAAATTCGATTTACGAAAATTTAAAACAAGAGGACAACACTTCATAAAAAAAGTGTGTCATTTAATTATATTACTTTATTTACAGTCGTCCTCTCACTGTGTGTGTAACAACACAAACAATTTCATATACGAAGTGTTGGTCCAACGTTTTAAAAATATTTGTTACCTTGAGAAAGGCCAGTGAAACATATATTATTAATACAAGTTATTTACATAGACACATTCTATTCAAAATAAAATCAGATATATTTTGCATAAATTGTGTAATAAAATTAATGAAATGGAAAAAAATCTACCTACGGAATTTTGGTAAACTTAAAGTACTTCGTCCTGATACCAAGATCTCCCGATAGATTCTGCATGCGGTTATTCTGGAACACCCTGTATAAAGTATATGAAGCGTTTAATTCATAAGATTCGCAACATTTTACGGGAATATAACGTGTCTTCCTTTAATCCATATAAAGTAAAACCAATTTAAACGTTGTTACAGAATATACTCAATGTTGATCGACAAGCCAAGGGCGGAAAACCAATAGCGTTCGACTTATGGAGAATTCGTGTGCACGGCCCTGGCGTCGAGCCTCGCCGAAGATCAGCGAGTCTTGCCGACGACTTACAAGTCAGGTACGCGGGCTACACTCGTAGCCACGTGATTGTCGCTCCCTCGCTCGCGCTGCTCGATCATCAACTATCGATCATCGCGGTGGTACGGTCGAATCAGTGCGCGCCGCATCGCGTCGCGTGATCAGTGTGTATTGTGTCGCGCTCGTGTCGTCGAATAGTCGCGACGCACGTGCGAACAAGTGTGCGCGCTCGCGTCAAATTCGAACGTGCGCTCTCGTAACGGGTGTGTATCGCGCAGCGTAGTAATTAACGATGAGAGCTATCCGTGAAGATCAGACGTAGTGTCTGTGCTCGTCGTGATTGCGGTTTGTTCGCGAAACGACGAGTTTGACGCGACGTAACTGACGAGCGCTTGAAAGACGACATGGCAGTGATCCATCGCGCAACGTTGTTCAGTGACGAAACGTCGACGGACTCCTCGCGGTTGCAGTTTTGTTGACGTTACGTGACGTCTCAAGCGAGGTCAAGTGGAGCAATTGAGGCATTGGGTGCATGGAATTTGCGAAAGGTAAAGTCGTATAATTTTCTCTTTTTTATGCTTATCACATGACGAATCTGCTTAATAACCGAACGAGCCGAATCAATTATGTCTTGTTTTCTTAAAACTGTCCGTGAGACCCGACGGATTTTTTAGATTGATAACTTGAAAACATAAGTCTGAGAAAGAAACTGGAAATGTCATTTTGTATTTCCTACGATAACGTGATGTCGTAACCGGAAACTGTGATACGCTTATCTGAGAGGTTGTCGATTGGCCATCCGCCTGACTCATAATTCTAAATCTTACAAAAATTAATATCTTCACATGTGTACTCGCGGTCAAGTTCAAATAGCTGTATAATTATACGTGACACGCTTAATATATTTCAAAAAATTCGGAAGTTTCCTCAAACGATTTTAAATTACGCAACAGGGATACTTATCGAGTTATTGTATGATTGCACAATAAACGATTCTCGCGCGCACTCAGCATCGTGATCATATGTGCACGCGATACCCGTGATAAGAACACCCATGAAAACCACTTATCGGTGCTTTCGCGGAAAACGTTTGGACATGCGGTTCTTTGCATCCTCTTCACGCCGGATTGCGATGATTTTTCTTCCTGCGTTTGTATATTGTATTGTCATATTGTGCTGTGACCTGAAGAGACCCGCGTACGCATTGATGCATCGATATTCGTCACGAATAAAGTAGGATAGAATTTGAATTGCGACTTGAACACTAATGTAGTTGTCTGTGCCAATATATAACGTAAAAATTGCTCGAAAGGGTGAATATTGAAAATAATATTTAAAAAATCTTCGTCTTTAATAACATATATAAATAGAAATATCAGATGATAATATATATTGTAATAATATGTAAAATATAGTATATATTAAAATATTATTAAAAACAACATTAAATTTGATGCACAAACAGAGAAAACAGTATATATTAGAAAAATATATTACCCGGGAATTTTTGTATTTCTTTAGATTTCACCGGTCGAACGAAGAGAACAATGAGTTATGTGACAAGGAAAGATAAGAACACTTTAAAAACTGGAACGTGTCAGTGCAGATCGAATTGATAAAAAAAAAAGAAAGAAAAGAACGAGATGAATCCCTCGCCCACAGCTAATCGGAGTTTCCTGCATAGCCATAAGGCTGGTCTGATCTCTGACAAAGTTGTCTACGCTACCCTCGATAGTTTAGCTCTGAAGCGAACGAGATTGCCCCTACAGTTGCTTCCCGACGACAATGTGGAAAATATGGAAAAAGCGGACAATGATAAGAGAACGGCCGGTGGGAAAACGTCCAAATACTCGTCCAGCAAGGTATGTCAATATCGATGTACAAATACAATAATACGTTCGTTTTTGGGAAGCAGTCGGGATACGGCGAATGCAAATTTATTTGCTCGACGAATGGAAACTCGACAATTCAAAATATATTTAGAATATTGCAAAAGAGTAAGGTAACNCGACGGGGGGGGGGGGGTAAAAGATGAAACGATTCGTCAGAGGAAAAAAATGTCTCTCTCGATTCTCTTAAAAATCTTGAAAAACGGGAAAAAACTGAGTGTTTATTGGTTTTCGCGATCTTTAAACCGACGTAATAGTTCGAGCGGAGATCGACTTTTTCCAAATTTCGAAGGAAGGTTATTATCCTTGCGCACCGGATCCGGATGTGCGCATTTAAAAGCAAGGGTGTTTACGCGATTTTGCGTTTACGAAGAAGGCAAGTGAGATGTTGCGAGTCGCGACTCCGGGATACGCACATGTGGACACACGAGCAAAAGGATGCTAATAGTCGGAGGAGTGGCTTGTTAGTTCTTGTGACGTTTGCTCGGGACATTGGATGAGATTCGCGGTTGATCCGGCGAAGCATCTCCGTGTAGCCCATCGTGTGTATTCGACACCGTTACTCGAAAGAAAACCCTCTCCTCAAAAAGCCAACGGACGAAAACACTTCCTAGGCGGTATCGAGCGACTTTTATTGCACGATACGCCGTTTTATTGCGGGAGGACTGCGATTTCCTCATATCGCTGACATTCCATCCGTTTGACGAAGGTACGGAATGCGAGTGACGGGGAAAAACGAGCTGCGCTGTCGTTCACGGTCTTTTCTTTCTCTTTTTCTTTGTTTTTCGATACGGGCGTTGATTGTCGCAAAATCGTGAATTGATAAAAATAAATTTTTTTGCATAACAAACTGTGCCGCATATTCGAAAGCACGAAATTGCGAAACATCCAAATTCTGGATCGTAAGTATTATTGCGAAAAATGTCATAATAGATCATTACAAGGATCGTCCTTGAATTCTGAAAAAATTTCTCTCTCTCACTTGCAACGGCCGATTCAATTAGCTGTCCGCTTAATTACACCCGTTTCGTTGTTAGGTGAAATCCGGGGCGAGTCAGCAATGGAAAAGTTACTCCAAGTATCTGATCTTCTCTTCCGCGAAATCGGAGAACCAGTCGACTCGTTCCGCCGCGGTACCGAATTCCGGAACTGGGCGCGATATCGAGAACACCGGACGAGAAGAAATCAGCGCGCAGGCAAATGCGACAAAGTACATGGAGAATTCCGTAGAAATCGCAACGAATCGTCCATCCATCAAGAAGGAATCTCGTATGAAAGACTTTCCAAACGATGATAGTCTGATGCACTCGCAAATAGAGAATCGCGATGATGCTGGCATTATTGAAGATCAACATGGGAAAGAAAGATGCCCCATTGATAGGAAAGACTCCAACTCATCCGGTGATTACGAGAAGATGAACATAATAGACTGCAAGCTGTCCGAGAGCCTTAAGCCCGAAGTGTCGGAAAGGACCGAACATGTAACGCGTGTCAACATCGGGAAAGATCTCCCGGCTGTGAAGTCGACGTCTGTAAACAACTCAGCAACGGAAGAGGTCACGTACGAAAGCGTGTACGTGAAATATTCAAAACAGGACTCGGAATCGGTTACAAGCGACGAAACGTCGTCGCGGCAGAAGAAAAAGAAGCAGAGGCGCTTCGCCAAGAACGTCCTTCATTACGTGCCGCAACATTTGGTGAATCAGCCGAAGAAAAAGAAAAAGGTGCAGAGGAAGTACGCGCTCAGCGACTCGCTGAGCTCCTTGAGATCATTGTACGCGGCATCCTCGGAGGCTGTCCAGGACTCCTGCAGCAGTCAGTCCAGGGAGGTGACGATCTCACCGCCGACCAACTTTGTTCACGTGGCGTCCGCCACCAACCCCAACTTAGTTTCGAACGAGAACTCCGTCAAGTCCACTATCGTGATTACTCATCAGCAGATATGCGCCACGTTGCCTTTACTCGTTGGAAAGGACGAGCGACGCGTTGGGAATGAGAACGCCGAGCGATCCAAGGTCGCTGCAGGAATGTCTCCTATGGACGACGCGAACCAACCCGCGGGTGAACCGACCGACGAAAGCGTCGCGGGTAAGCTCTCTCGAAAAAACGTCAGCAGATTTCTACGCCGAGCACAATCATGGTGTTTATGCAAATTCCGCCTTGCGCGTATGTGGCTTGATTTGCACAATAGTATCTTTCGAACTATGCCAAGTCGAGGTGAGTGATCTAACGTTGCGTGTTTGGTTAATGGGACGGCGTAAATTTCATAATAGCTTCTCTAATGGTCAGATTTATAGCTGAAAGTGTCGGTGAAATAATAGTCAGTTAATTACATCGATCGAAACGAGGCATTAATCTCCCTTGCAGGTAACAACGAGCACACGCATTACGCCGAGATAAAGAACGAATCCCCGAGAGACCAGCAGGTGGCGAAAGTTTTGGAGACCGGCCAGCTGGTGAAAATCGCGATCGAGGCCGATTCGCCGGAAGGTGAGACGTACGAACAGGTCTGCCAGTTCTCCTCCCCCCGGGCACTGCCGCAAGCCAACAGCAGCTTTCTGTGGAGCTGTCACCAGGCCAAGACTTTTCCGAGTGACAAGCATGACGCTCGCGGAGCCAGCTCTAAGGAAAACGACTCCGAGGAATACGACGACGTCGGCCCGTCAAACTTCGTCGCTCAAGCGGTACGAAAATCATCCTATGCATTCCGTTATAATGAGCCCCGGTGAAATGGAATTCTCGCTCAAATCGCGCGCGTTTCAAATGTGTTCAATCTGGAAAAGGATTTCTCTTTATTTCCGTTTAAGTCGAAATTGTATTCGCGCGTGTGAAAACGCCACAGAGCATGACACGCAGATCGTGAAGCTCTTAACAGCTCGTATTACACACTCGTGGCCGGAATAAGTGTGTATAATTGAGGCCCGGCTCTCGCACGATCGCCGAATACGCTCGAAATTGGCAAACGTCGTCGGTGAAACGGAATGCCGAATAATCGATTCGCTCCCGCGCGCTTGCAAAAGACGGAAATGGACTGTCACGGACGGCGCGCAATTCGATTCGTCTGAAATTTCACGTTAGACACACCTGACGCCGTATCACTTTATATCGACACGCTACGCGCAAATTACTCGCTTTTCTGCAAATGGAGAGACGACGGACTAATGAATCCCTTATCAGGAATCCGACTACGACGACGTGGGTCCGCCGGCCTCTCACGAGGTCACCGCCGCCAGTGAGGACTGTGAGGAGATCTACGACGACGTGATGCCGCCCGCTTTCAAGCGGGACGTCGTCGACGACTACCTAACTTCCGAGACGGTCGACGAGGTGTTGTCGGAGCGGCGAGCGAAGGGTTACGCCGATCGTTATTTTACGACGAACAATGAATATTTTAGCGTGGACGAGGAAGAGCGAGACGAGCTGGGTGTGTACGACGACGTCGGCCTGCCGGCTGAGGAGCGTGTCAATAGCCTTTACGCCGGCTCCACGCCCGGCTATATCTCAGCTATGACCTCGATGAACGGCAAGGAATCCGAGTGGGAGGACGTGGAAGAGGTCTCGAGCGTCTTGCGTTGTCCTTGCCGGGAGAATGATCCATGGTGAGCGTGACATATCGAAAACTCGTCATTTTACCGGGGCTGAGCGGAAATACGATCGCGTCGCTGTAGAGATTCGCTCGCGTGCCGATAAGGATCGTTTAAAAACATTTCCTCCGCCGCTTCGTTACGAGATCGAAAACATTGCGACTAATTGCCCTCGACTTCTCGGCGATTCATCGTTGATAGGCCGCTTAGAGATTAACATTCGTTCGAACGATTCGCCGCGAGTGTTTGCAAAAACATATCACCGCGATAATAACTGCGCAGCGCGATTAAAAGCAATTATCGCCTTAATATCGTTATCAGCAGCGCATTCCATCTGATGATGAACGAGACGTTAACGTGATTAATGCGATTCTATTATAGCTCGGATAATTATAGCGCTGACGATGACAGATAAGTAACCGTTGAACGTTACAGTGAAAAAGGGAACGAAGGGCAAGCCGGATCGAGTAAGAAGAAGTTTGCTCAACGGTGGTCGCGGAAGACTCGGAAACAACGATCCAGAAGGTCTCGCAGGGGCATCAAGGCGACACGGGCAACCGTGATTGCCGGTGAGTTCGACGATGGAAGTTTTACTATTAGGTAACGCACGGTACGCAAACGTAAGTAGCTAAGAATACGCGCGCCGAAGGAATCCCGCCACAATCGCCGGCGGTGACTCGCGCATCTGATATTTCACGCGCGCGCGACCTCCCGGCGCATTAATTTGACGTTACCGCGGAGACTCAGTCTGTTCCGTTCGTAGAGCCGAGAAATGGAGCAACGGAAGATGAAGATTCGCCGACGGTGAGAATTTCACCGTCCTCGAGACGCGCGCTCTCTATAATTACGCCCTGAGAGAAAGTCGATATCGATTTTCCGACGGGAGTCGTTGGCACCGATCAACATAACCAGAAACAAGTCGGTGTGTGTGTGTTCCTCCAACAGTGTCACGGCCGCGCGTGATGCACAGATCGGCCGGTAAATCCGCGATCGTCGTCGTTTACACGCGTCCCCGAAGGCCAGTGGGCGGCGATATAATCGCCGGCTTTGGTGTAATTGTGTAAAGACAAGGCCGCGCGGGAGGTCGGCCTATTCTCCATTAATTCCGCTGCTGCATCGCGCCGCGTGGTCGGAATGTTTATGCGGTCCGACGACGATTTCTCCGCGTCCGTATGTGTCTGTGCTAATCAGTCGTCCGGAAAGTATGGAAATTCCGTGAGACCGGCTAGATCGTAACTCGGCGGATAAAAGTTTTACCGCATCGAATCCAAGCCTGAACCCCGGGAGAGAAGGAGAAAACGAATTTATGAATAAAAGCACGCCGCAAAGACATATTCTCGGACGGACGACAAGGCGGCTCGCACGGGCGCATTGTACCGTGCTATCAGTAAGGATGATCACGTAGCCAGGTAAAAGTTACCTGCTCGTCACACGTGTTTTCGCGACGGACGGATCACGTAACGCACATGCGTGCATAATCGCCTTTTCTCCTCTCCGTCGTGAAACCGCCGTCATTCGATGGCCGAGGAGATGTCGCAAGGCGTGTTTCGTCGATGATGCAAAAATGCGCTTTTCTGCGAGGGGAGAAGGACGAATTACTCGCGCTGAAATCGGCAGAATAACTGAAAGAGAAGATAGAAACTCCTCTTGAATGAAGTCGAGATTCACGGCGGATAAACTGTGTTGCGATGTGAAAACGAAGTAGTGATAAATTCAACGAGTCTGGCTGATTCGCGCCGCCGTAAGAAACAGTTTGTGCGCATGGTTGTCCCGTTTTACGGAGGAGCGATTTCATTTCGCACGGTCGTTGCCTCGAATGTGTATCAACGATCGGCCGGATCGTCGCTCGGCACGCTCGATGCGCGCGATAATGAAAACCTTTCGTGTTACGCTTTAATAGCATCCCATCGATCCATTAATCGTTACGTTTAAAAAGAGGAAGTATTCACGCCGGCTTCCTTCGCTGTCATTCGACGGACTTCTCGAGAAGGAGATCCTTCATTCCCGACCGGAATCTCCACGCGGAGAAACACAGTTCCTCCCCGCATCTTCTCCGAGGACTTCTGTTATCGTTCGACTTGGATACATCGTGTGAAAGGCGCCTTAAGGAGATGGTGTGAGGGCCTCTTAAGAAACGAACGCGCGAGGTGAAAGCGCCAATTGCGCGCTCTCATTGTCAGTCACGGCCGAGCCGTGAGCTGTATCGGTGTGTCTCTTGTGATCTCGCGCTATAGCCAGATTGCTAGTCTCGAGAAGAAGAAGAAGAGGAAGAGATAAAAGAGAAGAAGGTGCGTTCTCTTCTTCCGTTCCTCCATCGCGCGATCGCTCGCCTGGTGTTGCTGCGCGAGCCGAGGAAATGTAGAAATGAGAGAGACGCTGAAGAAGTTCTCCCGACGACCCAACACTCAAGGTAAGACGGCGGCCTCTCTTCCTCGTCGTCACGCCCGCGCGCTCTCGCGAACCGTCGAATTTCAGGCCCGCGGACGCGCCTGGAGAACAATGGCAGTCGGAGAAGTTTCTCGTCCTTGATCCGTCGTTGAACCATCGACAACTAATCGCGTCTTCGTTAATTAACTAACCGCTCGGCTCGCAATTATCTCTCGATTTGATCGTTCATTAACTGGTTTCTCAAACGAAGCGCGCGCTCCGACGAGCTCCCCGGTTCGTTCGCCAATTTCATCGGGTGAATCCCAGCGGTGATCGCGCGATAACAGCTCGATTCGCTGAGAAGCCCGCTACTTCTTTCGTCTTCCTTCTCAGAGGAGCGGTCTGAAAGGGTAATTAGAGTTTCTACTTTCTTCGGTGAGTTAAAAGGAGACGGTTCGGTAATTGCTCTCCCTTTCTGCTCTCTCGGAAAAGCCAGTGCATTTTCATCGCGTTTCTGACGCACAGACGAAAATCGTCCGAGCGAGCGATTTCTCACGGAGCGTTCGATGACGTCGTCGTTTCGCGCGATCCTTATGTAAAACATCGGTCGCCGCGACGATCGTCGAAGAAACGAAAGTCGCCGATGGGAATAAAATCACGACGATCCGGATTTCGCTGTCGCGCCATATTTGACCCACCGCTGTCTCTGCGTTGTCTCTCCTCTCGTGGCCAACGCGCGTGGGCGTGTGTGCGTGCCTTCGACGACAGTATGCAACTGACCCTGAAACCGGATGATTTCAAGTGGCCGTTAGTCTGGGAGGCGGGTCGATACTTGTCATCGGCGAGCCCGACCGAATCGCCGAGCAATGGCAGCAATCGGCGAACGAGGAAGATCCGCCGTGCAGGACCCAGGGCCTGGTGCAGCTGCGCGTCGTAAATCTCGACGAGGACGTGGACACCCAAGAGACGTCCTGCTACGTGCACGAAGGTCCGCTACTTTCGCTCGCGAAGACTCGTTGAGAAATATAAACTGGAGGAAATAACTGTTACCGCTCTCATTGTGTAAAATTCTTTAGCTCCACTGTCTCACCCAAGGAAGGACCCGAGTCGTTTTGCGATACGTTTTCTTCTCTTTAACGATTATAGGGAATATTTTCTAAATGTCCCCGAATATTACAGGCAGAAGTAACAAGAAAGATACCGACTGACCCCGCAATATAGTTGGAAATACATATAGTTGGTGGCCTTTTTTTCCTTTTAAACAAATATTGGTATCCTGGTTCCTAAAGTCAGAAGGAAGAACGAAATATGATACCTTGAATTCCTTGATCTAAGTCGGCCTTTCCGTTGATTAGACAGCGCTTCCGATGATAGCACGTACGAGAGCCTGTACTCCTGCCAGCAGGATGATCTTAGCACCGACTCGGAAGGGACGAGCGAGGCGAACGATAAGCATCCACGACGTCACGCCAGTGATTGCGTTATCAACACTTACCTGGAGAGCCCTACGAGACCGACGCCGCCACCACCGCGAGAAGCCAGTTTGACACAGTCTCTCGGCAGAAGGGTCAAAATGTTGCGCCGAACTTGGAGTATCACGAAGGGCAGCCTCGGCAGGATCAAGAGAAGAACGTCCGTGGAGGAGTGCTTCGACGAGAAGGAGCAATCCGAGCATCAACATCATCACGTCGATATCGGGAAGTACTTCAACTTCCGCAGGCGCTTCAGGAAAAACATCGCCAGTCCGTCTACTTTTTATATCGGTGAAAATGATAAGAATGCCGTTTGTGGTGCGACCGATAATAACAATGGGACCGCCAAGGAGGCGATTTACACCAACAGTCAGTACATGGGTAGCGGCAGCGACGACTCGTCGACATCTCCCGTCACCAATGTCGGTGAGTTTCTCCGACATTTTCCTCGTCTTTCAACTCGGTGAAACGTAGCATCGGGGTGACTAATTAAGTTAAATTCAAATTTAATTTAATTAAGTCAAATCAAGTTCCGAGTAACGAACCGTGATATTATAGTAATGACAAACTCATATGCGCGTCGAAATAGTTCAAGATAAAACGTCGCGCGCATCTTAACGAGGGTGAGCGAGGAAAGTCTGTAAAGAACACCAGCGAGAGCGTGGCAATTCTACTTCACCGGACTAGGCGGTAAACTAAATGCAGCAGTTCCCATGCGTCAAATATCGAGTTTTGCTGGTTTTCGCGCGTATTCCCACACGCGGCTAAGAATACCGCTTATCCACCGACGCATAAAAAGTTCGCTTGCACTTTCACGGGACTAATGATACTTCCTCTTGATTAATTAACGGTACGCGCCGGAATTTACGCGATGCATAATTTACGCGTTCTTGTGCGCGCGCGAAAGAATCGGCAAACCTCTCATCTCTCACCGCTGTTTTCAGATCATTACAGCGTGCTAGCCGATCAGGAGCCTCTGTACCAGTTTTATGCGGCCGCGGTGGCTCGTGTCGCTTTCGAATCGGATTCCGAAGGCTATGAGGAGGTAATTTCCCCAAAGAAGCGTTCAGCATTAACTTTTTTTCTTTTCTTCGGCCCACCTCGTTCATTTCTTTGTTGTTTCCAACTTTAAGGAGTCTGCGACTTTCTCTTCGAAATCGTCGTTTCGCGTAACGCAGGCGTGATTGCACATCCAATCTTTAACTCGCCACATTAATTGTGCGTGTGACTCTTCTCCCGCAGGTGGAAGATACGATGTGGAAGAAAAGTTCCACTACGGCAGATTTAGCCAGGTCGGGACAGAGAATGCTCTGGTGTCATACCCCGCAAGTGATGCACAGCGGTCTCTTGGGTGAGTCGAAAGCATTGAACGTGCATGCCTTGTTAAACAAAAGAAGGCATTGCAATCCAATGAAAACATTCTATTCGACGATCAGAGAAACTGACACCGGAGGAGAAGAAGATGCAAGAGGCAAAGTTCGAGATCCTGACTTCCGAGGCGTCGTACTTAAATTCCTTGCGAGTCCTAGAGAATGAGTTCCTCAACGACTACGCGCTAACGCACGAGGTCCTTGCGCCGATCGAGGTGAATAAGTTGTTCGGCGGGGTGGCGAGCGTGCTGTCAGCGTCGCAAACATTCCTGGCCGAACTGGAGGCCGTGTGGAGAGAGGACCCGATGTTACCGGGTCTGTCGGACGTTTTGTTAAAGCACGCCCAGAGATATCAGGCCACTTATGTGGACTACTGCTCGAATCAAGTCAGCATTGACTCCACCTTGAAAGATCTCAGGTTAGGTAATCGGTAAACGTCGCGTTGTTTCTGTAGAAGTAATTTGTGATATCTATACTGGTCGATGTTGTAAGCAACCATCTGTCTCAATCATTATTGTTTCGATTGCAGAACTCGGAAAGGCGCAAAATTCTCAGAGACTGTCAAGCGCATAGAGATGCGACCGGCGTGTCAAAACCTATCTCTGCATTCCTTCCTGATGCTACCAATGCAACGTGTTACGAGGTATACGATGTAAATTACAAGATGAATTGAAGAAATATCGTATCGAGAGGATAGAGAGAGAGAGATACTTTTATTTCATAAAATTAAAGTCACCGTTCGAATCATCTTATTTCACAATAGCTATCCAGCGAAAATTAATATGAAAATCACTCCACACGTCGATAAACGATTATGCGTAGATTACCCTTATTAGCTGACGCAATTCTCTCCAAATTATCGATGGGAAGTTCGGATAGAGCGTCTTGGGAACAAGTTTTATCCAACCTGAGCAACGTCGTCGCCGAATGCAACGAAGGTGCTCGGACCGCTGCCCAAGAAGCCGAAATGGAAGCTTTAGCGAGGTACAGTACAGACAGACAGATGGACTACATTCGTCCGTATGTAAAATGAAATGTAGATTACACATATAATATCTCATCGTAGAAAACTAGAATACTCTGCGAAAATTAAACCGATTCTTCTACGAGGCAAACAATTGGTTAGAAGGGGATCAGTCGTGCAGTTGTCGACGAAAACGGACACCGAATACAAGCTCACGTTCGGCAAGAAATTCAACAAGACTCCGCTCTATCTTTTGCTATTCACTGATTATCTTCTAGTCACGAAATCGAAATCCAAGTAAGTCGACTGGTTATCTTAAACGTTCTCTTTTGGACGAACTCTTCCATTTGACGGACAATTTTTCAAACCGTTTTGCAGCGCTCAGGACGAGTCTTACACTGTCATAGACGCTTGCAAGAGGAATCTCCTGGCTCTGGAACCAGCTTCCGAGGAGTCGCCATTCGCAGGGCGAAACGCCATGATCCTGACCCTCCTGGAGAATTACTCCGGCCGCCATGTGGAATATATCTTGACGTGTGAAAATAACACGGAACGAGAACGATGGCTGGAAGCAGTTTCGCCGCCCAAGCGTGGGTTAGTTGGCGAGACGCTGTACGAATCCTGGGATTGTCCTCAAGTGATGGCCAAATATCCGTATTCGCCAAATCAACCGGACGAATTGTCGTTACAGCCTGGTAATATACGAGATAGGATAGCGCTTTGTAAAAATTCCCCAAGAACTTCTCCCATTCTTTATTTCAGTGATAACGATAAATGTTTCCTCTCCTGCATGAGAAATTGCCAAGTCAATCGTAGTAAGTTGCATATTTTTCCGCAGGGGACGTGATAAATGTATTGAGGAAGATGGCAGACGGTTGGTATCACGGCGAGAAATTAGTGGGAGGCGTGCAAGGGTGGTTCCCGGCGAATCATACGAAAGAGATCGCGTCGGAACACATACGCGCGCGGAACCTGAAGCAGCGACACCGTCTTCTAACACTCAGCAGTAGTGTGATACAGCAAAGGATGGCGAAACAAAATCAAGGAACTCATTGACATAGTTGAAGTATTACAGGAGGAGGAGCGTAATTTGCTCGGACAATTGTGATCGTTGTGTTAAGTAACTGAATACTTATTTATGTACGTGTGATGATTCTCTCGCGCTATATTGCAGTATTTCATAGCCGATTAAACTATGTGCCAATGTAATGTTACTCGTCGCCAAAGTGTGAAGCGGTTTTCTAAAATTTTTTACGAGAAACGCACGCAGCCATGGGGGAAATTAAAGTGAGAGAAAGTATGTTGCAATATGTCACCTGTATATTATATACAAGTGCACGAAAAGAGGAAGAAGAGGATGTAACAAAAGTATGCGTCTGTTTATTATTTTTATACAAATACAATACAAATGTTACTTCTCACGTATCTCTTCATTTTTGAATATTTCGTCGATTTGTTCACATATGCAGGAGTATATATAAAAGTAAAAGTGAGAACGAGTACGGATCGCGATTGCCTAACAATTGATCGATGGATGCGGCTTTTACAGATGCGAAGGTATGAGGCAGTCTTGTATTGTGGTGTTTAAGCGGAACGATCTGGCTCGTAAATATATTAACACGTAACATAAAGGTAATAAAAGAAAATACCTGAATATAAAGTTTGTCATAAAAGTGATTAAAATTCGTTAAAAGCTAGCGTGAATGTGATAAGTGTGTAAATAGATTCAATGATAAAGATGAAAAATCTTGTCGGTGTTTGCGAGTGTTTTGTCACGTTTACAAGAAGGAACACTGGAAGTCCGAGTTTTACTCGCTAAAGACTTGATCTAAAGGATAACCACGTTACTTCCGAGAAACTGGTTATCGGCTTCTAATCAATTTTTCTGTATCACAAATTTCCACGTCGTATCATAGTTTTAATATTCAGGCAATCTCCTGGGGTTTCGTGTTACACACAAATTTACATAAAGACACAAAGCAACATACAGATAGGTCGATGGATAAAACAAAATTTGCGTGGCGTGTTACTAAACTGATGATTCAAACGTTACGATTCATGTTCGAATTATGATGAACCGCGCTTTATGTCGTTACCTAAATTTGTGTACGACATACGGGCTCGATCGGTAAACATTCGGTCGTTTTATCACAACAGGATACTTAACCATTATCATTATGCTCTTATTGAGCGAGAAGTTAGCCACACGATTCTCAGATATTAAATACGCGTCTTAGAGTACCCGGACGGTCTCACATCGAACAGCTTTCTGACGAAAAATGCTTGTACCAAAGTTGTCGCTGTGATGACGAGCACTTGCGCGATCGACCATGTCTGCACATAAGAGTTATTGTCCAACAGCAGATTCAAATCCCTCGCTTCTCTGCTCCTGCTCAAATGTTGAGTCTGAAGCATCTCGTTAATGTTCCTTTCCACATTCACAATCGTGTTCTGAAAGAAGCAGGAATATGATAAAACAAATGTGCATAGCGAGTCATCATGAGAAAAGCTTTCTCATAACGCACGTACCGTAAAGTTTTCCACGGAAAGGTTCAGCTCCTCCAATTCTTTGCTGTACTTCTGCCATTGATCGTACCTGCGGTGACGGATATCAGGTAATTGATAGCGTCTTTATATATTTTCACCCTAGCACAAGTCATACGTCCTCGTTAAATTCCCATGATCTTACCTAATCACTGTGATGTACAGGTTCACTAATTTGGCAGCAAATCTTGAAAACTGATTATCAATGCACACGCTATAATAGCCACCGTTAACCGATGTATCTTGGTAGTCCGCATTTGAGCGCCATTGATAAGGATAAACCAAGACCCCTTCTGGATTCCTCACGGCGAAGCCAGCTTTGCCATCTCCACCGCGTAAAACCTACAACCAAGGCAAGATGCTTGAACCGGCACATTGTGAATATATATCACTCATTTGATCATTTGTCACATCTATGCAACATATTCTCCCATCTTTTATTTACATTTCCAGATAATCTGATAAGATCCTAGTGATATATCGGTTCGAGCGGCCATAGTGCATTACGCGTAGCGATTATCAAATTCTTCTTGTATATCGTACGAGACGGCGTGTCCCGGAAGTGCGCGAACACGTGTCACACACAACGGGGTCACAGCTTTCCACTGCGTGTCGATCTAGCGGATCATGAAATATGCGAGCGCGCGCCAGCTGTCAAAACAAACACAGGCTCGCCGTCAGCGCGAAATGCCAAACGAAGCGAACGGGACGCGAGTCCGCGTAACCATATGGCTCGCTTCCTCGACCTCGCTGCGGCTCTTTTCATTTGGACAACCGCCGCCCTGCCGACCGATTACGGATACCCGCCGCGATCCTACCTGAAAACTGACGTAGAAAGTTGCGCCCGGATTTACATATTGGAAATAGCAGTCCTCCTTGCCAGCGTCAATGTGCACTTTGTAGTCCATCGCCACCGCGGGTAGATTCTCGTAGGAGAAGCCATGGACGAAGGGAACGAGCAGGAGCGCGCAAAATAGCGAGCCGCTGAGTTGCACGAGATTAGACGACATTTCGCGACATGGGCATTACAACGGGTTACGACCACGAGCCGTGCATTACTCGGCGAGCGACACTGACAGGAGCCAGCTCCTATCAGTACCCAACTGAACCTGTCGAGGCAGTGTCTCTCAATTACTCCCAACTATCGATATCAGACTCACGGTTTTCCTCTTCCTTCTTTTTCTCCTCGACGTGCTGGAAAATTGTCCCTGTGTTCAATCTTTAATCTGGAAAGCGTAGGAACATCAAAATAAATGAACTTTTCCAAAAACCAAATGACATTTTTTGCTCTCAATTTAGATAACGGACGCGATTACTTTTGCATACCTGGTAAAGTTATCTTGGAACATTCTCTTGATACAGGAGAATTTCCTATCTTTACTATATCATTTTTATTGTATTATTTTTAACGACAAATTCAATGTTCATTCAACGATAAGATTGATAACAGTAAATTTTGAAGCGTGACAGATCAAACGGAAAGAAAGGAACAGCAATGTCGAGTAGAAAAATTAGAGGAAATATAATGGAGAAAAAGATAGAAGCGGATGCTTCATGAGTTGATGATGCCTTCTAGAAATGGAGTATCGCTGGTTATCCCCCACTCTCGAACGTACTGCACAACTGGAAGGAGAAGGAGGGGAACTTCGAGGAGAGACAAGAGAGCACGGAACATACATCCAGGATATTCGCGCCAAACGATCGTACGAAACTTGCCGCGGTAGCACGGAAAAACCACACGTGTCCGATGCGAGACGCGATTACGAGCGTGCCGTCGAGTGTGTTACGACGTAAGTGCCGTCGAACGCATTATTCTCGATTGATTACGAAAACATTTTGCGCATATTTTCGATGCTCTGTGTAATATTTGACGCCGTGAATACAGATTTGAGAAATTCAAGCAGCGATCGTGTGGACATTACGAAAGCGTCTGATTCATGATTAAGCGATAAAATTATGTTTGGGAGAATGAGATAGCGATAACAAAAAGGTGACATCTTGGATTTTGACCGAAAAGATTTTAGAAGCAAGTCGAGCCGACTTTCGTAATTTATACAGGAGTACGTTCGCGTGCGAGGCAAATTACACGCATAATCGCATCTTAGGTAAGCGAAGTATATACGATACGTCCGGAGCAGTAATGCTCGCCACACCGTGAATCATTACTTGTTTCATACGCTATTCATTACAGTAAAGAATTATTTTCGTTGCCGAAAGTAGCAAAGAGAAGGGAATCGACGTTTCCTCATCGCATATTCAAACGAAATCCATCACCCGTCGATATATTTTCTTCTAATTTTTACCATTTTTTGAATGTCGAGAATTAAATTTGCAGTTAAATATTGCGTGAAACATAGTCTTAAAATTGAAAAGAAAGAAATCGAAAAATTAAAGGTTGAGTTTCACGAAAAATTCAATGTAATCTCCTGGGGAAAAAAAAAGAAAAAACATCGATTCTGAGAATCTCGATATTTCTGCGACACCCCGTGTAAAAATTGCTCTGCGTTGATTCAAGTTCATTGTCGGCGGATTGATTGAATGAGAAGAACGTCATAGTAGAAACCTGACAAACTGATTGGTGCAACGAATAGACATTACATCGGAGGTTGTTACATCTCGCTGGTGCGACGAATATCTCGGGCAAAAATACGGATGCATCTCAGCGATCTTGCTTATCTGTGCAGTTACGACAGATAAAGCAGGGGTCGCATATATTTAGCATGAAAGTCAGGTTTCAGGGAATCGTCGGTCAAACCGGCACCTCCCACTATCCGGTGAATAAGAATGGTAGAGTGCAATCCTGTGTCGCGATTATGCAATTATCCATAATATTTCGTCACCGTACAAATAATAACTTTTAACATTGCCCGTGAAAAACTATAAACATAAAGGTTAATTTTTTTGTATGCCGTGTGTGTAAGATGATTTATATGTAATGTATGTAATTACACGCGTCAAGTATCTCTTATGCGACGTTAAATATGCCAAGGTGTATGAAACCAGTGTGCGTGAAGGTACGTGTGTACGAACGTTTTCATCGCTAATACTGTAATTACACGAAAGCCGCGTATGTCACCGGATAATCCAAAGATAACTTTTTCTTTGTGAGTTTTCAATTCCGATAAAAAAGTGCACTTTTTTCTTTGACGGGAATAGAATGTATTTTATATTATCTGTTTTGTGTACTTAAGCTATCTATTACGTAACATGTATACTTTTTTATTGTACCTTATCAATTCGTGATATTCAGTATACCATTATGTTCATGTCCAAAAGACTTGCGCGATAATGTGTGAACTGACTGATAAACTCTCTTGGAAAAATGAATCCACTCAATGGGCCGATAGTTATATATTTATGACGTGTTTGCAGAGAATGGCGATTGTAGCTGCTGTAATAGGATTCCTATTGTTACAAGGAGCAGCAGCATGGAAAACCAAAATTACATCAGATATAACTGTGCGCATGAATGATGTGGTATCATTTCCATTCGTTATATCTAATGAGGTACCTACACAATCAAAATTGGTATTAGTACCAAGTGCGGACAGTGATGTCGCAAAATTAAGTTTATACGTACTGGTGCAAAATGAAACTTCGTTTAATGGTGTCTTAAATATTACCGGTGTGTTTCTTGGTACAACGAAATTGACGTTTACTCTGATGGAAAATGAGGTAAGCGATTGGGAAAAGTGAATGAACACTAAAATTTATTTGCTTGATTCCTGAAATATGATCAAGAGTTTCTCTTTTAGGATAAAATATATAATGAAGATGTTGCTGTTATTACTGTAATACGAAAGGAAAGAGCAATAGATAATGCATTCACCATCAGCGTTGCGGTGCTCGTATCCATTCTGTATATTAATTTTGGCTGTGCGATGGATTGGAATGTATGTCGCAACACATTGAAAAGGCCGATAGGCCCAGCCATAGGTTTCTTTTGCCAGTTTGTTATCATGCCATTGGTAAATCTCCTTTCATCAAAAATGTGACAAACAACAGACACTTCTATCTCTGCATGATCTTTCGTCGCTCGCATTTCCTGCGACCTTGATTTCGTTTATAATTTCCAGTTAAGTTTTGTCATTGGATATATTTTATTTCCTGGTCGTCCTGAACTGCAAATAGGGATGTTCTTCACAGGGGTAAGCCCGAGTGGCGGTGCTTCTAACATTTGGACAGTATTACTTGAAGGTAATCTAAATCTGTCGGTCACAATGACAACGTTATGCACCATCGCTGCATTTGGTAAGGAATTGTACACGTGACATTAGATAATTTATACTTACGCCTCATTGTACGTATATTATAAAATATTCTTGTTCCACTGTAGGAATGATGCCACTTTGGATCTTCACATTGGGCAGATATATTTTTGAGCGGGGAAATCTCACGGTACCCTACCATCAGATCGGTACTTTCGTGGTTGGCCTCGTGATTCCACTGGCTATAGGATTTCTCATACAAAAAAAACTTCCAAGAGTATCAAAGATATTAATACGAATAATGAAACCATTCTCTGTGATTCTAATTCTATTTATCATTGTATTCGCCATTGTAACCAACTTGTATCTCTTCAAACTGTTTTCACTAGAGGTAAGTGTCCCTTTCATGAAACTGTGAAAAAGATAACAGAATGCAAATTTATATATATACATATATATTTATATATCTCTTGTTTCAGATTGTAATTGCAGGAATGGGTCTACCTTGGTTAGGCTTTTTGTTTGGTCTTATAGTAGCAAAACTCTGCAGACAACCCCAAGCCGACATACGAGCCATAGCCATTGAAACTGGTATTCAGAACACAGGTGTGTCTATATTTTTGCTACGATTTACTTTGAAGCCACCTACTTCTGATCTGACTACCGGTGAGTATACTTTACTGGTGGTGCATATACACTGTGTATCACACAGCTGTAATTGTCTGATTATTGTATTCTTTTTCAGTGGTTCCTGTGTCTTCCGCGATTATGACACCGATACCGTTAATGATTCTATACATCGTCAAGTTAATTTATCAATATAGACAAAGAATAAAGGAGAAAAGGATATCAAACTTTGCTTCATCGAACAAGATTCAAACAGTAGAGGGTTCCATGCGATCAAATGTGTCTAGGTTAATCGAAAATACAGAATGAAATCATTTTGTGATCATTATTAGCATTAATGATATTTTGAGAAAGTCTCTAACTACATTTATGTATCTCATATTGATGTTGAAAAGTCTTTGCCATAAGAGATAATTTGGTCTTGGGTGTTATATAGTTGTAAGTATCAATATCTACATTTGTTATTATCTGCTAAACAAATATTTAAGAATATATTTTTGTGAACATGTTATTTAAATAATCATATCAATAATGACTATAGTTTGATACAATTGTTCACAGCAGAATATTGTCTATCACGAACAAAATCTATTAAACTTTTTTATAAATGTTATATTGTTTGCATATATATATTTAAAAATATATGATACAGTTTTCTAATTTAATCTTTTCTCTTGTAGTTACAGAATATTTCATAAATACGAACTCTTATATACAAACTCCACATACATTTCATTTGTAGATATATTTTTAAAAGATTTTGTCTCTTACATCTGATATAACCTTTAAATTTAAGTTAACGATCTGTACACAGCGGCACACTAAGTTCTCTGAATGCAAAATGTTATGTTATCAGAGAGAAACCTGGAAGCGGCATTTTACTTGATACAACTTTTCACGACTGTCTGAAACGTCATCTGCGCATATTTTAAGAATATTTTTAGGATACAATCCTTGTTTGTTTTTCATCCACAGAAATTATAGGTATAACTCGGATACGTACCAATGAAGACCAGTATCGGCAGTGTCAGAGAGTGAGTGTAGCGAAATAGTTCCGTCTTAAAAATGTACGCAGATGGCGTTTCAAACAGTCGTGAAAAGCGGTGTCAAGTAAACGCCGGCGTGGCCGCTCTCAGGTTTCTCTCTGATATTATCATCTCGTCATCGAAACGTTATCCCGTCGTTTGGTAGAATACATTCGTCGAATGCCTCGTTAATCAGAGTATTTACATTATGCTTTCGTACCCAGCAATATCACATGTAACAATTTTTATGTGCACCTATAAAAGGCGGTGCAGACGATCGAACTTGACATAAGAATCCTCTCTCTCTCTCTCTCTCTCTATGTGTGTGATTGGTCAGTAGATTTCTAGTCAAATTCTGCTACGTTCCTGTGTGTTCAGAGTCAATCTAACCGCTTCCGAACTCCGTTGTGAAATATCGTGCAGAACTACGTCAATTTTCTCGCGAGAAATCTCGCAGCGTGTTTAAGCAACTGTTAAATATCTTGTTTAAGAGTTATCGCTGATGCGAAAACAGTGCGAACTCGATAGCGTCATTACCAACGGATATCGTACGGCCGTTGTCATATTGATTACTCCCTACTTCGCTCCGATTGCATTATACATACAACTCATCGACTAATACCAACGTGTTATTCTCCGCTGGTAGTCGTACTACACGGTGCTTTCGCAGATCGAGCGTTTTTCGAATTTCGAAGAAAATTCGATCTTTTTCTAGTTTCTCTTTCTCTCTAGCATCTTCTTTGTCTCCCTCTCTTGCTGGGAGACAATCTCCTGTTAGGAATGAGCGGCATGAGGTTGGCCAGCCTGCGACCGGGTGTTAGCATTGCCGCACGTTCTTGCCGCTGACTTCAGCGCGTGTATTTGGTTTACTGCAGTTTACGATAAGAGGTGGAGGAGACGAGCGAGCGAGCGGTTTGGGACTTTCGGTAGTGCGTGTCGGTGCGTAAAATGCGATCTGGTAAACGCGACGGTCAACGACTGTGTTAGTCTCCTTCGGCCACACGATAAGTGACTCGAGAAGCGGCGGAAGGCAACGGCGTACACGGACGAAAGAGAGGGAGAGAGAGAGCATGCGACCGCGCCTCTGCGACGTTACTCGGTGTGTCGATGAGGATGGGAAGTGCTCCGACGACGACGACGACGAGGGACGCCAGTGAGAAGCGCGAGATAACGTCGCTGCGGTACGTGCGGTGCATCATCATCGCCTAGGAATGCTATCGCCGTCCAAGCAGCAGTCCCAGCAGCAACCGAGAGATAGAAAGCCGTCGAGAGAGTACAGGTCCGATCAGCGAGCGTCACGTAAGTCAGTCGCTGTGTTGCGCGTGTAATTCGTGCGTTGCATAATAACGCGTCGGATCAAGCCGGGTTGGCCCGTTAATGGACATCGCCAGAGAGAGAGAGAGAGAGAGAGAGAAAAAGATACGTCTGTCCGCGCGGCTGTTACAACGTTGCGCACGTATTCTCCCGTCCCGCACACGGAACGTGTGCTGTTTGGCGGGAGGCGAAGAAGAACGACCGGTCGGTGATCACTGAGAGTACCTGTAAATTCTTTTAGTCGTGAGATTTACGCTGTACCTTTGTGTATGTGTGTTATTGCCAAAGTTCTCGAGTTGTGCGACTGATTAGGACGCTCGGCCTGTGATGCTGTTGATGAAACGTTTGCAGCCGCCAGTGAATACTCTGAGTGATCACCGGGTGTGCTCTCCCTCGCTGGACGATGTGTGAACGCGACAATGATAATACACTTATAGTGCATCTCTTTTGTCTTCCATGTTCCTTGGACGTGAGTAGATAATAGTCAATGTTACTTGTTATTGTCGCTTAGTTAGATGCTGCACCAATCTGCCTGTATCATGTGATTTGTACAGCGGTTGGTACAAGTGTGTGTGAGACAGCAACTAACAGTAAGCTGACACTTTCTTTTTTCGTGTTCTTGAAAAGAAAAAAAAAATTCATAGAGAAAAGTGTCGAGTAAACTTGTAATTCATTACTTACATTCGATAGCAGCCGATACAAACCGAGTATCGTATGCACGCGGATCGCAGCACAGAGCAAAGTGTGTGTGAACGAGGCTAAAACTTTTTTTGTAGATGTGCGTATAAAAAAGGGCCAAAAACCTTTGGAAAAGAAGTCATTCTATTTGGACATAAAGAACCATGCGATTGCGACCAAGTTAGAGGCGAAGATCAAGGAGTTGGGCGGAGTGAGTTGCATTTCATATCTTCTCGGGATACTGTGTGTAGCAGGCTGTGTGTACGCGTTTCCCGCTTCGTTTCGCGCTTATCGATTTGTCAGAGCGTTTGGTGTATTTTGGGTGAGTGTGTGCCCCCCCTCCTCTCACTTTCTCCATCTATCTCTGTCTCTCCCTCCACATCTCTTTCTCGCTCTCCCCTTTTTCTCCCTCCCTGCGTTCCCTCTCTATCTCTGCCCCCCTCTCCTCTCCTCAGCCGGCTCCTCTTCCTCTCTTCCCGCCATTTTCGATCACTATGCCTACAGCCGTTTCGCCGCGCTCCCCCGCTGAGGGGAGGCGCAGGAAAAAAATTCGAATCTGGTCTCTCGTGATGCGTCCCGCGGCCATTCAAGCCGACCCCGTTGCCGCGCGTGATACTGAGTACGCGCGCGATTATCGAACTGCCGGAATGGCAAACTCGTTCCCGAAAACTCGCGCACGGGATCTTACCGGGTCACTCGTCGAGCTTCCGCTCGCCAGCCGCGAAATTTTCCACGTCGCGTCCAAATTTCATTTCACCGAGACGATCTCTATCCGATACTTTTTTCTTTTACTTCAATGAAATTGGATAAATTACGCTTTATGTAAAGCTCCCCTGATCGTCGGACAAAATGATAAACGTATCGGAGCTACGCGAGTTTGTTAAATGAAAAGTCTCTCGTTATACGTGTGTAACAGCACAGAATTGACAGTCGAATAACACTAATGCTGCGATATTTCGTTTTACAGAAGAATATTGACATCCGGTGAGAACGGGGTTACCAATAAGTCCGGTTTTATTTTTACTTTTACTCTCTTCTCCCTCGTAAGCGGGTCACGAAAATACGTAACCGGTGATTTTACGTGGAAAGGGAAACACGGTTCGTTACGTCTAAATTTCGTTGCGGCTTGGTAAAAGTCAATTTTAAAATTAACCAAGACTTGGCTGATTCTCTAGCTCTTCCCGGAGTCTCTAAGCAAGACAGACAATTTCGGACCTCTGGTTCCGTCGTCAGAATCGGCATACTTCCCTCCTTGTTTTTCCACCGACATCTCCGATCGCTCCGTTTCCGAACGCTCGATATGCTACAGCTGATAAGTATATTTTTTCGTCCTCTTTACATCGCGCATTTTCTCACGACTTTCCTCTGTTTTCATTTTCCCTCCCATATGACTGAAAAATATGTTTGTCCTGTCCGCAACACAAGGGAGTGTGGTGTGACGCTAAAGAAGCGACAAATCCGACCGTTAGCGGAGGCCGATTCTGACGACGGACCCCGGAGGATTTGCATGCGTGCGTCGCGGAGTCGTCGTGGTTGGCCGCCGCGCGTTGTTGTTACGTCGTTGCTGAGCTGTGCGCGCGGGCTACGCCCTAAATTCAGCTTCTCTCGCGGCACATCGGCTCGTTCGAGCAAACACACAAGTAGGCAGACAGGCGTGCCGACGTTTTGTTCGCTCGCGCCACGTACAATCACACCGTCGCGCACGCTGACGGCCGATTTTTCTGTTGACAAACATTTCCACGGCGAAGGTTCGCGATGGCTCGCGCCATCTTCGGAGCGGCGTGCGAAGTTTCCGACGACAGTGACGAAGAGAGACCTTCTCTGATCGAGCAGCCGTTCGAAATTTCTCGCATCCGGTCACATTTGCAGCACGGAATAAATAGTCGCGCTCCACTTTTCGCTCATGTATACACCGTCGTTCTCATCGCAAAGATACGTGAAATCTTCTCGTCAAGTTTCAGAGGGAAAGTTTGTCCGTGAAAACGTTTGTCTGATTGAAAGTATGGGGAAGGGAGAAAAATAGAGAACCTTTCACGGCTGTATTACGCAACATGTGACAGGCTGTTTCGTCGCGGGCGATCCGAGAACACACCAGTTTAGCACGGCGCTTGGAAGTCGATCATAGCGTCCTCCTCGCGAGTTTATTAATAAATAGTCAGCTGTTAAATCGCCGTTAATCGGAGCCGGCTGCCGAGAGATAACCGTCTGTTGACAAACAAATCGCGAGAAACCGGCGTGCGTCGCGCCACCTGAGCAACGGCGCGCAGAGTCTCTCGCGCGCGCAGCGCGCTTCTTATCGTCGTGCGATTTCGAAAAATGACGGCGGCGCGAAGACGGTGTGACAGAAACGGAAATGCAGCGCGCGCGACGCGTCGTCGTCCTCGCCGTCGAGAGAGGAGCGGAGAGTAAAGCGCGCGGGCGAGCGCCGCCTCCAGGCCCCCGTGCCAAGCTGCTAACGGCGAATGGCCATTTTGTGCGTGACAGTTGTCCGCTGGGAGCAACTGTAGTAGCAGCGCGAGGCGTGCTTTCGTCGGCCGTTCGCTCGAGCGTCATCGCGTGTCGTCGGCGAGTCGTCGCCGCCGCCGTCGTCGGTGCGCGAGCGTGCGAGCTACCCACCGCCGCGTTACAGAAGATCCGCTTGACAGACAGTGCACGTTCGAATGTGGAGAACGACGTGGGCAACGCGACGACCCCACGTGTTCCTTCGCGTCGTCCCGCTGCTGCGAGGAGGAGGCTGACGCGCGTCGTATTATTAGAACAACGCTGCTATGCTCGAGCGGCGTCGACCACCACACGAAGAACGCGCGCGCGCCGAATCGCGTTCCTCCGTGTAACGGTCAGCCGCCGCTGTCACTCGAGGAAGGCCGCGAAATCACTTGACGTCAGCGTTAACGCGCGATGTAAGCGTGTGCGCGCGTGTCCGACGGCTGCCAAGTAAGCGGCCGTCCTGTTTGTATATGTTAGACGACGCTCGTTTTGCTCGTTGCGCAAACGATAAACTTCCTCGGACCGTGTGTCGTCGATCGCGTTTGAAAAGCGCCCGAGGGCTCCGGGGGGGTCTCGCCCGACGACAAGCGGCTGTGGTCTCTCGCTCGCGGAGATTCTTTGTCCGTGACCGAGGAGCAACGGCCCGAGGAGAATGGAATAGAGTTTCAAACGTGCGCGCGAGAGAGAATGTTTTGTAGCTGCTTACGAGGTGCTTTCGTCCGACCGCTGCCTAATAACGCGCTTGCGGTCGTTTTTTTTATTCAACACATTCTCTATTTCCAGGCGATTGAGGTGTTCCTAGTGCGCAGTGTGAGTCTTGTGGTCAGCGATAGGGTGGACAAAGCGGGCTATACGAATTCCGAGAGGCATAAATGGATTTGCGCCAGCGGAGGCAGCGGGGGACCACGCTCGCTCAGAAGCGTAGAAGTCACGACGCCCACACCCCCGACGCCGCTCCTTAGCTCCGAATGCCCCTCGTCCAACTCTGCCAATCTACGGGGTCAAACTACCCAGAGATCTGTAAGTAGAATCGATCTTCGAGTGACACGAGTGGACGATGATAATTTTGCGATCAAACAGAAATCGCGGGTGGATGCAATGTTGGAACGTGCTCTGACGCAGCCGCAACAGTGTTCCGTGGATCTATTAGACAACGCCCAGAATTGGGGTATTCCTATCTGGTCGACGGATAAACTTCAGACCTGGCTCGAAAAGATCTATGCGTCTTTCCACGAGAAATATAACCTGAAGCACCTGAAGCAAGTCAACCAGCCGGAGAGAGACTTGAAGGTCAAGCATCTGAAAGGGTCGTACGTGAAATTCGAGTCCTCTCGCAGGTGAGTGATCGTAGCTTGATCGCGCTGTCCCGACACTTCTATCCGTTGTCTATTTGCAGGAATTCCAGGCCCGTGTTCCTGGAATTACCAGCGTGGCCGACGCTAAATTTCGACGGCGATCCAGGCTCGTGTCCTTTTGACACGAAGAGGCAGGAAAAACAAACGAGCAAGTTAATCGGCAAAGAGGTCAAGGAGAACAAGAAAAATATTGAATATATACATAAGGAGGAGGTGCGTCAACTGCCGTTACACTTGTATCGACGATCGAAATTTTCGAGACGCGTCTTTATATTGCGAGTACTCTCGTGATTAATTTCCCCTTCGCATTAGCAGAGTAAAGAAATGACTCGGAGACCCCGCGCCACTGCCGCACGTGCTCGTAGAACGGAACAGTTGGTCTCTGGTTACTGCGAAATTTGTAGTACTCATTATGACGATCTGACGAAGCACGTGCAAACTGAGCAACATGTAAACTTCGCGCGGAACGACGCCAATTTTTTGTCGTTGGACAGGTTGATCAACGCAGGCGCTAATGTGGAAGCGTTCCTGAAACTGAACGGAACGAAGGATATCGAGTGAGTGCGCACATAAGACTTTTGCCCGATTTTACTCAGTGCAATCTAAACTGAAATTGCGATAATTATTATCTCTTCACTTCGATATCACATGGTAATTATAATAGTAATCAATCGATGTATTTCATTTCCTTTCATCTCAGGAAAGACTGCAACTTGTTCCCCAATGAAGATAACAATCTCCACAATGTACTGCCCGTGGAAAAGGTAACAATCAAAAACACCAAAACATTAAGTAATTTTAGTGTTGACGAGATAAAAATGGTGCAGTGTAATGGTGCGCGCAGAAACCTTGATCTAAAGTTAAGCTCGCCGCACAATCTGCGCGCTCGCGCGAAACACGAGAGCGGCCACCTGCTGAGGTCCAAGGGCAGCCCGTGGCACGAGGTCGACAAGAGTGAGAAGTTCTACGACAAGTTGGAGGGCTATACCATCAAGAAACGTTCCAAGGGCACTATCTGGATCGAGGAGGAGGACCCGGAGGACATTCTGAAGGAGTCCAAGCAGGAGGACTACAAAATCAAGCCGTTCCCGAAGGACCTAAACGAGATGTATCGCGATGGTAACAAGGAAGAAGACACCATCAATCCGCCGAATCTGCAACAGCAAACGGTCGTTCAAAACTGTATCGTAAATTCGCGTCACATATCGTCGGAGGGCTATCTAGCAAAGAGCAAGCGCAACAACGGTGACGAGAACTCGGGTCCCTTCGAGTGCGCGGTAAACGAGAACGACGCGGTCGAGAATAACTTCATCGTGAATATATCCAAGTTGCGCAATGACGATTCTTTCCATAGAGAGTGTCGCGCGTTGCAGACGGTGGACGCGAGAAAGTTCTCGGACGATATCGTGTGCAACGGTCACACCGACAACGCCGCGAAGCCGTCGTTGCGAGGGGAGGTCCCCAAGCATCATCCGCGAATCAACCGGAGGGGCGGCAGGAACATCAGAGGACGACACCGGCTGTCGGTGGAGGAGCGTCTGATCGAGGACAATCGCGCGTACTACAAGGTCGAGGTGTTGGGGAACAAATTGCGGTCGAGCGCGACGCCAGGCGGCGGCAATCACGCGGCGTCCAGGGGCGACGACGAGGACGACGACGTGGAGGAGGAAGAGGAGGAGGAAGGGGAGGAGGAGAAGAAGAAGAAGGAGACGCCGTCCAGTGAGAAGCCGGTGGTCGTGCGATTCAAGCGCGTGAGGAAGTCGGAACTGTCGCTGCTGAGCGACGAGGCGGAGTCCTTCATGTTCGGCGAGCCGAAGCGGGACGACTCCAGCGACGTGAGTTGCAGCGAGCAGCAGAGCAGCGTGCTGCCGAGGGATACCGAGAGCAGCGAGACGTCGCCGAGCTCGCCGCTGATCTCCAGCTCGCCGTTGAAGCAGGAGGTCGTCGAGGAGGACTCGCAGGACTCGGTGCATCTCGGCCGTGCGAGAAAGAGAAGACGCACGCAGGCCGAGGCGTTCATCAAGGACAACACCGACTACTACAAGTTCGAGACGCCGGGCAGCAGACTGAGGTATCAGGCTCCGTTGACCGGCATCAAGGACGAACGCGCGAAGAAATCGCCGGAGGCCGGCGGACCGTACGACGACGACGTCGAGCAGATTTATCCGTCCAAGCCGTCGGCGGAGATCGAGAAGATGCAGTTCTCCTTCGAGGCGATACCGCAATCGGAGCCGTGGTATCAGACGTATCAGCGTCAGGACGCGGGCGCGGAGTACTGGCACTGCTTCAGCGAGAACGACTCCATGAAGCCGTTCCTCCTGCCGTACGAGATCGAGAACTTCTCCGAGACGATGCTGAAGAACCTCAACAGCCGGATCGAGAGCAAGAAGAGAGGACGCGGACGCGGCGTGGGCTGCGTCGGTCGCTCGCCGCGGAAGAGCCCGCGCTGCCACGCCTCCACCCTGGCCATCATGTCCACCATCATTCGCAAGAGGGAGCAGCAGCAGCCGGCCCTGTACACGATCGAGGCGTCGCCGGTCGCCAGGTCGCGCACCGACGCAGCACCGCCCCGGCCGAAGAGGAACCGAAGCTCGGAGGTCGACGAGGAGCTGAAGGAGATGGCGCGAACGATCGACGAGATGCTGAGCGGGAAGGGCATGACGGAGCTGGACGTGTCGTTCGAGCCGGCCGACGAGCAGACCGACTTCTACGAGTCGAGCGCGCCGAAGGGCGCGCCGCCGAATCTGCTCGAGTTGCTCGACAACTGTCACGAGGTCGTCAACTGCCTGGAGAACTCGTCGTGCGCCAGCTCGGAGTGCGGCGAGGGCAACCCGGAGTGCCCGCTGAAGCGGCGGAAACGGCGGAAAAACCGGACCGGTTGGCCGGACAACAAGCTGAAGAGGAAACTGCAGAGCAACAAGGACGCCGCGTACTGCAAAACGGACAAGAGGCTCCTCTTCTCGGACAATGGACTCGGCAGCTCGACCGAGCGACGCGCGTCGGAGGGGACGGAACGGCTCGCTGCGAAGGGCGTCTCCGTCGCGTCTCACAAGAGCATGGAGACGACCAACGACACGGGGCTGCCGGCGAGCACGGACAACAGCTACGCTACGGAGTTGTCGGTCTCGGAGAACACGATGTGCAACGACGTCGCGACGACGGAGCCCAGGAAAGTCCTTCCGTACAGGAAGGAGCTGTCGGAGATCGAGGAAATATCCGAGAACGATCCGGGCAACGACGAGAACCAGCTCGCCAACAACGCGAAGCCGGCGGCCGTGAGGAAGCGCGGCCAACGCGAGCACCACACCGCCGCGTCGGAGCTGGCGTGCACGGAACTGCGCGCGGAGAACGAGAATCACGACAATCTGTGCAGGAAAGACGAGTCCGGTATGGTAGTTCCTAGGAAGCACCACGAGCTGTCGCCGAAGCGGCGCGAGAACACAGACGGCACGGCGGAGATGTTGGAGGAGCGTCGTCACCACAGCCTGTGCAAGCGCAGACGCGTGGCCTCGCGGAAGCGCATCTACTCGAGGAAGCGGCAATCGAGGCCACCGGCCGCCGCGAATCTCTCGTCGTCCGACGTCGCGGCGGCGGTCTACGAGGACGAGAATTGTAAAAAGGATTCCTACCTGAGTATTACGTGTAACAATAAGAAGCCGCCGCGCGCCGGGGTGAAGCGCAAGAGCGAGGCGGTCTCGTCGGAGTCCGACGTCGACTGCGGCGGCCCGCTGTCGGAGCGCGTCAGCCCCCCGGAGCCGCCGGTCGAGCTGGGCCAGCGTCGGTCGAGCATCGATTTCCAGCCGGTCGTGCGAATGATGAAGCTCGACGACCAGGTGGACATTGATCACAGCAGTATTCTGTCGGTGACGGTGGCGAGTAACAGGCGGCTCAGAAGTTCCGGCGCGTCGTCGCGCTCGAGCGCGGCCAAGCCGGCGAAGAAGCGCCTCAAGTCGTCCGGCCGTGGTCAGTTCGGACGGTGGCTGAAGAACAGCTGAAGACCCGAAGGACGATCGAGTGGGGAACTGTACCTCGGCCGGACGACGACGACGATCCGTCGCCGCTCTGGTGTACATTTGTGTATAAAAATATTATTTGTGTACGTAGAATAGTATTTAACATCGCTGACACACACGACAGAATTCTATCTCTTTAGTGATACCGTTCTTCTCTCCCGGTGATTACTTTTAACACGCTGCCGGTATCCTCCCCTCCGTCACTTTGTACATTCGTTAAATGCGGTCCTTGTGTTCTCGGACGCGTTTCAAATTACTTTCTTTCTACTCGATTTATCGTTGTGCCCTCTTTCTGTCTCTTCTTTTTTAGTTTACCGCGCATTAAACGAAAACTGTGTACCATTTCGGAGATACAACAGAATCGTTTCGTTCGTATCCTGATGTATGTTGAAGATTGTTTCTATGTAGGGTGTTTTATGTTTTATAGAGTACGCAAGACTGCATACACAGCTTTATGACAGTGTAATCATTTCTGTTATGATGCGCATTACTGAATCTTTTGATTCTCCCAGCGGAACTATCTGAATACTTTATTTCAAGTAAACCTATTGTAAGTCTCATGAGTTCAGAAAGAGAAACAATTATTATTATTAAAGATATGAATTTTCCATTAAAATACATTTCATTGTGTCTCCCTGCGCGCAAAAACGTCTCAATTGCGTTCCGGTTTGCATTTCCGATTTAGTGGATGAATTCGTCTTCTCTTCAGATAGCAATCTTTGTTATAATCTAAAAGATTACCTCGTGATGTTTTTCATAACAACTTTAGTATAAAGAAAGTAATTTCAATGAACCTGATCTTTCTCGTAACGTCGAATATTACTGGACCATACGATTAATCTCAATCTGGTTGATATCGGTGTACTTTGCACGCAGGATAATATTTTTCTTGGAACAATTCCATTTATTTCTAAAAAACTGAAATAAACTCATATTTTACAAGGATTAAGTAACGAACAAGTCGTATCACGTCAGGCCCTCGCGTTCCTTGAAGGCTTTCTTCATTTCTGCCAGTTTTTTTCTCTTGTACTCTTTCCGTGTCTGCTGTTTTTCTTGAATAGCACGTATCTGGGCCTCAATAGAGCGTTCTTTGTTCAGTAAATTGTCGAGCTTCGTTATCAGAATTTCGCGCGCGCGCTCCCGGTTGTCCCACAAACTTCGCGTCATGTGACATTTGACAACAATCCCAGTGGGTTTGTGCTTCAGCACTACTGCGTTGCTGGTCTTGTTTGTTGCCTGACCACCTGGTCCACTGCCTCTGACAAATTGCTCCTTGAGGTCAGCCTCTTCCAGTTTAGGCATGTTTGAATAATCTAGGTAACGTTTGTAAGACTTGCTGCGAATCTGCGTACTCTCCTCTATGTAAATAGTCATGACACCTGGTGCAAGGAACTTGTTACACCTGACGTAGGTTCTGCTACAGGCTTCTAAAAACATGGACAATGACCTTGCCAACATGTCTCGTTCTCATGCTATATTTATTGAGTTAAAATACAATCTACACCACTTTCCGAGCTTCCAAGAATTTCAATCCTTTCTGAAAGGAAACAAAAGAAAAAATAATTAAGCAGTAGAAAACTAATTTAGGTAAAGAACAGCAGGGTGATGATTATAATGCGAGACTGCTTAATTTAAACCTGGGGAACTTCGAGGACGGTAGAAATAAAATTAATTATTGGTTATAAATGCAGGCTAAAACAAAATAAGTATCCCATCAATTGTAGTTTATAGGTTAGGAACGATAAGAGGTTAAGGATTTTTGGTCACACTATTAGATGTTATATTTACCTTTAATTGAAAATCTATTGCTGCCTCGTCAGTTAAAATTTTATTCGTCTTGAAAGCTTCGCGTATCCTGTCACGAAAATATTTCTTATCCGTGAATCTCAAGTTTTGCCCGTATTTCAATATGTCCTTGTAAAGTTTCAAGACAACGTATCGGCTCATTGCACTTTTTTGAAGTTATTTTGAAAGTGATATAATTGATAAAATATTATATATAAATGTGTATTACATTTGAAAACAGTGATAAACGGCAACAGGACGATAGATTTGGCCTTTTAAGTTGAACCACCCGCATTGGTACTAGAAACATATAGGGGCTTGATTCTTGAATCATTCATAACTATTCGTATACGTAACTTACGAGTAACATCCAATAATGCGTACGTGGTTACAATGGAAAGTATTTCTGACCAGCCCTTGAGTCATACTACTTGAGAAATAGAAGTACATCTGACTCCATCGTTTATTCATATCACGACCTCAGTTTCTCATTAAGTATAGTGGCGACTCGTAGCGGGGATTCTGGAACTAAATTACAGAAATAACGGGTTTACAGAATTATTATTAAACCCGTTATTTCTGCGATTCATTTCCAAAAATAACAGGTCTAATAATAATTCTGTAAACCCGTTATTTCTGTAATTTAGTTCCAGAATCTCCGCTATAAGTCGCCACTGTACTTAATGAGAAACTGAGGTCGTGATATGAATAAACGATGGAGTCAGATATACTTCTATTTCTCAAGTAGTATGACTCAAGGGCTGGTCAGACGTACTTTCCACCGTAATGAAACATAGGCGAATTTCAACAAGCTGTAACTTTCGCAATAATGATGCTATCGGAATCGCTCAAGAAGCACTTTAAAGCTTGAAGTTTCTAGTTTTTAGCCACATTAGCTATATTAATGTTGTCGTTAATTTTCGTCAAGATATTTCGAGTTAAACGAAAAGTGGCAACCGTTCAATTCCAAACTTCGTCTTTCAACAATAGAGGAGTAATGTAAGAAGTTAATATTTTATTTAAAAAATCGACGTTCTGTATATATAAAATATCCCAAATTTATAATACAATCTTTTTTTGTACGGTTTTCCTGATTAAACATGCGGACGAAAAGTTAGAACTCTTGGAATTCCAATTCGAAGAGCTTTTGTATAACGTCATCCATTTCCAGCTCTTTTGCAATTTCCGTTATAAGCTCGTCTACGAGCTTATCAGATATCCTACAATCAACGTCATTTAATATATATATAATACGTCCCAATTTAACTTGTTATATTTACCAAGCCACAATGTCCCACGGCTTATTTTGTGTGTTGCTGGAATACATCGGAATCGATTGCATCAAGCGCTGATATTCACGTTTATACTTTAGGAAGTTCGTCTCAGTTTCTTCGGAAACAACAAGCTCGATGTTACTAAACGACGTGTCCGTTACCCTTGTCCGTGTCGCTTCCATCATCTGTCGTTGCAGGTACATAACATTTAGCTGTTCCTCAGTATTTCGCTCATCGCGAACGTACCTTCGTCTCAAAATCGGGCAGTTCCTTTGAACTCTCGCAATTATCTTGACACAACGTATCGCGTGGTTCTTTCGATGCATCGTCCATCGAAGACAAACAAATCAGTCGCATGTTCCGTCCACTCTTCTGCGTTTCATTCGTTGCCCTTCGAGAGACAAATATTCCTCTCCATTTCTTTTTCATATAATTCTTCGCGAGTGGTAAGATTAAAATATCACAAAGTACGCTTAACGAAACAATGTAATTCCACCGGCTCACCTGTTTGTTTTGATATTTTCGCATTCACAGCTGCTGACCATGGGAGAATGACACGCGTCACAGCCTGTAGCTACGCTAGTCTTTGTATTCGCGCTCTTCGGTGACTGGTATCTCTGCAGAAATTCCATCAACGTTTTTGTAGAGGCTGCCGACACGGGTCTCGCCTCTGATCCGCTTTGCTACGTTAAAAATATGCAACATTTACAATTTACAACGATCAAATTCGTTGCAAAACATAACGTGATTTAGAGCGTGCCTTATTAGAAACAAAAGACATGAAGTCTGCTATAACCGGCACTAAGTTGGATAAGTGCTCCTCAGTGATCATCGTCACCCTTTTCACCAGTTCGTCATCGTTATTCGTAGAAGTGGTCTTGACAATATGTTCTATAGTTTCAGAATGTTCTGTGCATTGCAGCTTGTCGGGAAATTTTCTCAACGCTTTTGGCTGCCTCCTCGTGAGCATTGCGTTATCCTGACCTTCTTGCAGCTCCAAGTTGCTACCCTATAAAACAAAGTAATTATTACATCTCAAATATTACAAAAGTCTGTTGTATCTTATCGTTAATAGTAATTCGTTTACGTTATCTGAATCTGCAAGTAACATCATATCCATCATAGTCTTTATATCCTCTTCTTTTGCATATGCTCTGTGCCTTCTAATTCTACTTTGATTGGCGTTCTCGTTCGGCACGAGCGTTACAGAGCTGGGATATGGCTGGCCCGCTGATACTGGCTCATTAGAAACTCTCTTATCGTCTACCCTATTATATTTTTTATCTTTCTGACGATAGTAATCTAAAAAGAAACGACACATGGTATATACGAGTTGAAATGCTTGCTAAAATAGAAGCTGTATTTTCGAAATTTGAGTAATTTTACATACTTCTCTGTTTAAGATTACTTTTGGGAGCTTTGGTATCCGCGCTGTACATACTCAGTCGATTAGGCAACTGTTTACGATTGATACGCTTCTTATTGTTTGCCGAGTGCGAGGTGAAAGACGCCATCGACGACGTCTTATTACTGTCGAGCAGATCATTATCCGAATGCAACTTTAACTTTGATAAAATGACATTACACTTGCTTTCAATATCCTTCCCCTGTAATCAGAAAAGACGAATATGAATCACCGATAATACCCGCGGTGTTTTTAGATTTGAAACAGCCAGAAGGTGCATTATAAGGATCTACATAAACGAACAAATTTGTCGTTACCAGTATCAGGATATCTGTGTCCCCTGCATCGAGATAATTCGTGTTTAAGTGAAGCCTGTCGCACATTGTCTTCAGATCGATAACCACTTGAAGTATTTCCCTAAACCTGCCGGGATTTCCCTTGAGTATCGAGCTAGGAATGTGTTTGCAGTAAGCGACCAATGCATGCAACAGTAACTGATGAGCGGCAAGTAGTTTGTGCTCGATGGCGTGCATGTGGAGTCCCAGGCTTCTCTGATTCGGCTTCACTCTCGCTCGCGGCGAGATGATGCACATGTGCCTCTGGATGTCTTTGACGTATCTGTTAAGATCGTACAAGTAGTTTCTCGAGAACCGCACGACGAATTCCGCGACGCACTGCTGCCGCCTCTGTAGATCCTTAATGCCGTCCGGCACCGGAATATTTCCCAGCCGAAGCGCGATCTCGTCCAGCAGTTCGCAGACCTTCCTCTGCATCGTTAGGATCTTATGCATGATAAATGGATCCGGCCGTGTGTAAATAACTCCGTTCGCGTCGTCTCGACGTGAGCTGCTCTCAGGACTGGAGTTATACTCGATACCATTGGTCGCATGAATAAGCCGCTTCGACGACTGTTGTCTCTTCCGCGCTACAGCATGACCGGAGCAAGACTTTTTCGTGTATGATTTAAAATTTCCAGCCTCTTGTCTCCCACGGTAAGCGGAAGTATTTTCTTCCTCGGGAATTGCGAGCAGCAGATTGGTGCTGCCTGTTCCAGTGTCTCTTGTAATTGGCACCTTTTTCGAAGACTGATTCCTGATATTATTGACCTATTATTATGTGAACTTTAGAGATATATTTGGTACTTTCTCATGGAATCACTTTTACAGGAAATCTGCTCACCTCTGATCTCTTCCTTTGTCTATTTTCAGTTCTACCACTATGTTCCTGTTTTATTTCATCGGACAATATATCTGTCTCTAGTCTTTTAAGCTCTTTATCCGCTTCTTTTATACCCTCATCCAACAATTCCTTGATACTTTGGATAGATGGTTGAATACCATTTTTATTATATGCCATGGTACTTAACTCTTGTTGCTTGACAAAAGAGGCCCATACGTTTTCTTCTTCCTCTCTGCACCTCTGTCTGCGTACATCTTTTACTATGTACTTAAAATGATTTGCAGGTATGTACTTTAACAAAAGAAAACAAAGTGAGCACTCTGTCTCTAAAAGTAGCAGAAAGATATAGTAGAAGCAGGATGTACAAACATAAGAGTAAAACAATATATTTTTTTTCATATAGATATGTCCAAGATTAAATAGAGAATCTACCTTAAAATCGTAGTCATCATTTTCGTCCTTGGGAAGAAACAGGTCTTTCGTTTCGTTCAAATAGAGAGATTCCGCGGTGCCCAACAGAAGTGACATTCTTTCTTGGTTATGTCCGATGTACTAAGGATTGTTTGTGGTTACGTGCACTCATTCGCGTTCCCCCAGTGCCATAAACGAGAGGGAGATATCAAAAAGGCAACAGATATAATTTTACAAAACAGGAAAAGGCGAAGGCACGCTTTCTCGAACGCGGTGGATGAACATGGGCATAAGCTTCCTCTCTCTCTCTCTCTCTCCTCTCTCCCGGATCGAACTGAAATTAGTGGTGAGAAATCGATATATCTCTTCTTCTCATCGGATTCTCAGGAGTAATTCGAGACTACCCCGAAATGACGATGCATCGATCTTTGCTTCGATGAAATATTCCGCAAAACGTAAGCTGACTCAGTCCGAATTCTGAGAAACGAATAGAATAAATTAATGACAAAGAGAAAGCTTTCGTCTTCGCATCTTAATTACCGATGAATGTACGTTATAAAATATACATACATGCAAACTTGAACTCTATCGGCTCGATTTTCGATCGTGATTTACATTTTAATTCGGAACGAGCTGAGGCCGAATCTAAAATGCAATTAAATCGCACGAAAGTAGTAATGATAATCTCCGCCGCGCCGGTCACGAGAGCGAAAAATAAATATTGAGGTGAGGGTTGTTTTTATTGCGGTCTGTTTGGAGGCGACAGCGGGTACCGGCGATACCATCGGGAAAGGTGTGGGCGCGGCTGTGCGTGTCCGGATCAATACTCCCGCGGCCAAGGTTCGTAAACGCCGGGTTCACTCGTGACGAACGGGCTGCGTCGTCGGACGGTGGTTCTCATTCCGCGTCTCAACCGGCTCCTCCGCCCATCAATATCGCGCTTACCGCAAAACCGTCGCGATGTTCTCCCTTTCCTTGCCTTTCTTGATTTCTTTCTCTCTCCCTCCCTGTGTACCGCTTCGATTAATTGCAGAATTAATTTAAGCGTAACTGACTCATCGCATCGACGATCGCGTTGTTCCTCAGGTTGAGAACGTTGAACGTGAAGAAGTAGCGGACACGATCGCCGAGAAAAGCGCGCGAAACGCGAACGCGGACACGAAGCCACGATAAAAATTTTTAATGATTTTCTTAACAATGCGAAAGCTCTCAAACGGGAAATTAAATTGCACGGTCGAGCAGTTAATTTCGAGGCAGTATTCGTCGCGATCGCATCGTTATTACGGAGAATCTCGTAAAGATGATACAAATCTCGAGTTTCGAAATGCATCATGTCGGAACGTCATCGGCCAATCGACGCGTGCAGTGGCGTGACGTCATTGTGCGCGCGCAGGACGTTCTCATTCAACCTTCGGATTTCGCTGCTCTCGCGATTTACTTCGCTTTTCATCTCACGAACCCTCCGCAAGCTTAAATACACCCGGTAAGGCATCTTTCGTCCTGCGTGATTTCGTTTCGTCGGATATCTCGACGCGCATTTAACGACTCGTGAACGGCGCGTCAACGTATTCGCCCCGTTGTCGATTTTTCCTGCGATCTTTTCTTGGAGCACGGTTAAAAGATCCGCTTACATGGCGTTACAAGACTGGAAAGAAGTATATTTTCGAATTCTGCAGTTTTTACCCGTTGATCTTCGCGATCGTCGCATGAGAGGAACGTGATAGCCGTTATTATTATTATTTGCAATAACGTTCGATCTAAAAATACGTACAGTAGCGATCGAATTAATAAGATAAATTAACGTTCCATTTTTTTCTTCATTGTCTTTTTTTAGTTACCTTATGACGCCTGAAACGCTTATAGAATCTTCTTTTTGGGAATTGGAAGAGGTTTCTTGAAAGTTAAATCGTATCGTGATTAGATGCATATGAGTCTTCAGATTTATTGTGTGACTTGAAATCTTCCATTTTCTCCCAGGCCGTTAATGGTAGAGTGCATAAACATTGAGAGACCTTCATTTTCATCAACGAGCTTAAGCTGTGTGATTGTATCGACTTGTGGTTTGAGTGTGAGATATTTCTTAAATCAGTGGTGAGTGTAACAGAGACTGCAAATAGACAAAGATAAAGCAATTAGAAGCTTAAATAGCTGTGGTGCTGACTGACAACTTCAAAATGACATCTAAAGTACTAATGAAACTACCAACGGTGCCCTTCCCTCAAGTGAGTAAATCCCAATCAAGTACGCAAGAAGTTGAATATAATTTGCAGCATGCAAAATTTATCATAAATTAATTTTATATTCTTTATGTTAACATAAGAATCTCTTTATATTTCCACTTATATAGCTTATCGTATTATTTGCTTTATAGGGGAAGAAGACACCATCTGACTTGGTTTCCTTGAGTGAGAGAAATGATGGACACACACAAGTCAGGCATCAAGGACTGAATATAGACCGAGCGACTCAGCTTGAGCAAAATATGAAGTTTCTACAGGAGCAACATCAGGCAACTTTGATCGCCTTACATCAGGAAGTGGAAGCCTTACGCCAGAGAAACAGAGGTAGGGGATGTGTTTAATAATTACAATTACTTTTCTCGTACACTTTCTTACTTCTAATCTGTTTCACAAATGCTTACAGATTTACAATTTCAATTGGTATTTTCCAAAAGAGCACACTGTGTGCCTAGCAGTCCTTCTTCACCTGAAGATAATGGAAATGGGTTTGCGAAATCAAAGGTACTTGTGACCATTTTTCACAAACCAATTTAATAATTGCTGTCACTTGATCTCCCTTGTTAAGATTTATTCCATAAATTCTTTTCTTTACGAATTGTGTACAGGGTAGCCCAATATGTGTCAATGTAACACCTCTGCAAGTGGAGCTCTTGGAGAAAGATTTACAGGACATCAAAGCGTCATTGCAGGAGGCAAAAACACATAATCAGTATTTGTCAAATATTATAGAACAGCAGAAAAAGTTAGTCATCTTCCATTAGAGAATATCGTGTACCAACGATAAGTTAACATTCCCTCAATTTGCAGGAGATTAGACATGACTGAGGAACAAAAGGGTAAACTCGAGGTGGCAGACGTAGGGATTCAAGTCGGCGATCCGGTACAAGCGAGCTTGGTCGTACTCTTGGAAGAATCTTACGCGATGGTGAAACGGTTACACAGAGAAAATCTGGATCAAAAGAAGGAGATAGCCTCGTTGAGGGCAGCTTCCTCGGCAAATAACGGCGGTCCTAGCAGAGGCGGACGTTCTCGCGACAACGGTAACAACAGTCATCACAGCCGTGGCTCGCCCACGAGTTCGACGCAGGAACAGAGTTCTCGTAAATTTCCGCCGTTACCAATACCGAGCTACTGGCATCGCAGATCACCGAGGTACAGTTAACAGAGAGAGTTAGAAACGTCAGAATGAGCCTTTTCAAGCAATTAATTAGTAACATGTTATATTTGACTCGCTTATGAAATATTACAGGTACAGCACGAGTCGGCAAGAAAAGCAGGATCATCAGGCGGACGCGGACGCGACCGTCTTGCCGCAACTCCAGAACGGCAGCGTGAAGTCGGAAGGGGCCAGCTGCGCCGAGTCGCAGTCGTACCGATCGTGCGAGTACCGCAATTATTCTCGCGACGGTGGCAATCGCAAGTACAGAGGACAAGCGTCGCGAAGAGACAGCAATCACTATTACCACTCGCGCGACTTCAAGGATAGGAATTCCAAGGACCGCCCGAGAGACGCGGGCGACTCCGGCGAAGGTTCGAAGGACGCCAATAATCCTCGGAGGCAATAGATCGTCAAGTATAATCGTTGCCGATTTGTAGAAATCGCGGATGACGACGGCGAGCTTTAGCCGCACGTTGTGAAGGCGCATAAGGGGCATCGGGGATCGCGACACCAGTTACCGTAAGAGTTACCGAGTGATCGATGTTTTCTTGTACACATTCTGGTGCTGATTAATCACGTCAGTTTCGTGCATATTGTAGCGCATATTGTAATAGGATAGCGACGATGAACGAGCATAAGCTGTACGATTTTCGATGGAACAATGTCTAGTCTGTATTATCCAATCTTACCCGTTATAGGCTGCCATAAAGAAGTAATAGAGCTCGCGCTTTGTAGATGGACGATTGTCAACAGTGTTTAGCGAAAGACTACGATAGACAAGGAGACCTTTTCCTTCCTATGGACGACGGATGATACGACCAATGAATTCACCGAGTACTAGCTTTCCCGACTGACGTTTGAATTTGGACGGACTCGAGCTTAATACGCGTGCAGTATTTGAAAGAAAAAAAAAAAGAAATGCTGTCCATGCATATACGTGTGCGTGTATTGAATTCTTTTCTCGACGATGAAGTATCGAAGAGGAGATTCTAAGCGGAATCTAGTCATTTTCATGTATTCCATTATTGAAACGGCAAATCGTTGAACGATCTTGCTATTATTGATATTATATATATAGATATAGAATACATATGTATATATTCTTATATTTTTTATTGGTTTTACGCATCTCTAATCTGTATCGTTGACGTATATTTTTGGTTGCACATACAACGTACATCATACTTCCAGAGAAGATGCGCATTACTTTGTTTCATTTCGATCTTCCGACGAGACGTTCCCGATTGAATTGTTTCATAAAAACGTGAGAGATGATGGTTGCTCTTAATTTTGTAAGTCTCATTCGCCATTAGCGAGTTTCTTTTCTAACCTTTTTTCCTCACATATTTTCGATCAAACGACATTCAAAGGCCGGAGCTTGTCTGCTTCAATCAAGAAACTTTATGATTGTATCTTTTTTCTACTTATATGTGAGACAAATCCCTGATCTTGAAGCATAGCGACAACTCTACGTGGCATTATCAGACTTCTTCGTCTTAGGAATTCGCAGATACTCGACGAAGTAACGTGGGAGAGAAGTTTTCACGCTATTAATCACAGATTACGATATAAAATATACAGGAATACTTTATAATTATATAAAATCTTGTACGCTTAAATGGATGAATCATTAAAATCATACGATACCATATAAAAACTGTTATGCAATCTATTTCTTTGAAAGACCTCTTTCGCGAAATATTATAATAAACGTTTATTTATGCATCTGTCCGTACACGTAAAATAAAATAATTCTCTTTTTCGAAAAAGTTTATTATAAAATATATTATACCTTAGTTAAGTACATATCCAACACTACGTACGTGAACAATCTCTGTGTATATATATATATATATATATATATATATATATATATACATACACATATATATATATATATACATATATAATTTTTTATGTATATATGCAACAACTACAAACGGTCGAGAAGATTCGAGCTGACCGTGCTAACGTAAGAAAAATATGTGGGGAAATACGAAAGAATTACCCTGTAAAGTACAGAGGGAGGAAGGCTCTTCAGGGCGTCCTAAAAATGTCGAATTCAACAGATTTTGCGTTCTTAATTAAAATTAAACGATACTTTACCGGCGTGGGGGGGAACAACGCTGAACGACGCATACTTGAGCGTTGCAGTATTTACATCCCTAAAGCGTACAGGGTGCAACGAGTTCATGAGCACGTGCGAGGGTGACGCTCGAGCAACTAGGGAAAAATCGTGAACTTCATATTGACGCATTACACACCTGAATGTGCCGAACAGTCGACGTGCTATCACTCGCGATCCTGTAAGCTTTACGTTTTACATCACAACCACGAACGTAAAATTAAGTGAAACAGAATTGCGTCGACCGAGAGTAACGCGAACTAAATCGATCGATTATCAGTCCATTTAAAAATGAAGTTGCAGGTAGTTTCGATCGAGATAATGTAATGACTGTATAGGATTTGATGTTGACTGTATTTCTACGCAGTAAGGGCGATGTATTCGAGTTACTGAAAAAAAGAGAAGAAAAAAGGATTCCTCCGTTTTACCTGAAAATCGAAAGTCGATACGCTGGGGAGAAGCACATAAAGCAATACCGTCTAAAATACTCGGAGAGAGAGCGATAAAGAAAAAAAAAGAGAACACGTGTTCTCCGTGTGATAAAGTGCGCCTCACCCTGTATAGCCGACGCCCACCACCATTATATTCTCGATTTTTTATGTACTTTGTTTAACGGTTTACAATTTCGATTAAAATGGCCCCAAAATATCAGTCTTTCCGTCTGAATTTTGTTAATTTCATTACGAGTAATTGAGCATACGACTGATGTTCGACGTGACTTATCGAAAACTCTTGACTACTTATAGTTCTACGTTATGTCCTCGTTATGGAAATACGATTTACATGCTGCGATCGGGAGAGAGCATTTCGTTCAATTACGGTGCCGCGAAAACAGAGCACTGAAAGAGATACTGCGCAACAATACGTTAATCGTTAATTGTTACAACAAAGTATATCGTACAATTATTAAGCCGCAATGTATTTAACGACGCTTACAGGCGTGAACTAAGAGGTAAGATATAAAATTTGTACGCGATTTCTAATCAAAATGGATTCCTCCGAGAGATCATATATATGTATATATATTCACACTAATTAATCTAGTAACTCCTCCGCGCAAATTAATTGAACGAAACGCTTCGTGTTATTCGATGATCGGCGTTTGTTTCATTTTTCCTGAAACGAAGTATCTCGCGTCTGTTTCGCGTTAATAACTGCCCTATGATACCTCTTACATACAAATGCGTGGAGATTACATTGCTAAAACGCTAAGAGACTCGCCTAAAGTCTCTCGTCCTTAACGGGAGATAAAATTTAAAACTGACCTAGGACATTTGATTATCAAATTGCGGTCGTTTGCGTCGGCCAAGTGTTCTCGTGACACTCGCTCTCGCTTCTAACATTCGTCTATCTCATCTCACTCACATCTCATGTTTGTCTCCTATTCGGTATATAACTGGGGCATTCACACACACACACATACATATATATATATACACACGTCAGCTCGGTTGAAAGAGACGAGAAGGAAAAGGGACAACAAATCGCGCATACTCAACAAATAAATAGGAATAATAGGAACCAGCCTATACGTTACTACATATGCAAGGTACTAGAAACAATAAAAAGTATAATGAATAATCGTATGACGGACGACGTGACGCGGGATTCGCAGCGATCCTACAGTCCTGAGGAAACATTGACTGAAGGGATATATATATATATGTACCATCACACTCCGTAATCGGAGTGCAGTGGGCGCCGAGAGAGAAGCGTTCATCGGCTGTTTCAGTCGTCAAGCCAGCGACAAATCATCGTTAGACCATGAGCCTCCTCTTCTTGCCGTACGCTAATTTCACCACATTCGCGGTCTCCATCACGAGGGTGTCCAATATAGCTACCGTGAGTCCGTTCTTTACCGCCAGCTCGTCGTGATGGAACTTGGTCCACTCGTCCTCTTCGGCCTGGGCCTCCCTCGCCAACAGCTCGTCCACCCTGTCCCTGCGCTTCCTGCTCCAACGCATCACCATGTTCTCTCGCTGCAGTTTCGTCTTGAAACCGAAAAGCGTCGCGACCTCCTTGCCGACGTACTCGGTAAGCTCCTCCACGGTCTTCGGGATCTTCATGGTCGGCTTCGTCTTCACGTTCGGCTTCGTCCAGCTCGGGCCAGGCTTCTCGTATTCCGCACGGTAAACCTCCGCGACAGTCTCCTTGCAGAGATCGAAGAGGAAGGTGTTGTAGATCCGTCTGTCCTTCCTCACGACCTCGTTCTTCTCCTTGGTCAACTCGTAGATTTCGGGAGGCGCTTCGAGATTCGCGACGTCTTCGCCGGCTACTTTTGCGTTGTATATCAGGGTCGTGGCTTTCTCGGTGAACGACGTCAGTTCCTCGACGTTCGACGGTATCACCGCGGTCAACAGCGAGGAGGGCGAGCCGAGCGAGGTTGACAAACGGCCGTCTTCGGGCGGGGTGTAAGGCGGTGGAGGTTTGTTCGGTATCTCTCGGACGTAGTAAGACACCTCTTCCGCTTCCAGTTTCTTTATCTGAAAATAAGGTCGCATTAGTCAAACGCTGCACAACGAGGACAATATCGCATACCGTATATGTGTATGCCACGTACCTCCAATTCGATTTCCAGCTGTTCGATGCGGAGCAACTTGGCTTCCAAATCGGCCACTTCCAAACCGGGTTGCTCCAGTGAGGCTGTACGAAGTAGCGAGAAATATATCGATAAGTACGACAGAGAAGCTGTGAGATACAAGTTCCTCGGGAAAAGCAACACGAGTCTTCACATTACATCAGGGGTTAAACAGTTTTACTTGAGTTGAGTGCTCGGAGGNGGGGGGGGGGGAGGGGAATAGGAGAGACGTTAAGAGAAATAGATATATAAATATGTATATGTACATATCGAGAGGAAAGAAATGTCTTCAATGCACGAAAACGGTAAGCTGTGACAAGAAGTTGGACATTCCATAATAGATAACATCTGTACACAATAAGAAGTCTTTTCTGATAGATTCAGAGGAGGTAAAAAGAAGGTAGATAAGTAATTGATGAACGAGTGTTGTGATGCACGATATTTACAGGCCTTTCTTGTGCGCACATACGGACCATATAGTCAAAAAAGATATCAAGCATTCATGCGACACTGACATTTGTACAGAGATAACAAGTCAATGTTCGTATCCATTCGTAGTATCGTGTATTACCTTTAGACAAATATAATCTCGACTTTGCTATTCTGAAAATAAACAACACATGGCTATACCAGGCAACGCTTTCGCACAGGAGCACACAGCCATTATAAAAACAAAAAATGGTGTTTTCTGTAGTATGATGTAATTGAGATGTGTAAAATTATGTATCGAGTGTGTGTCTCTGAGAGATGGTCAGCCCACATAAAATTGCATCGCATGATTTCGGTTGAGAATGACACCGATATGTATATAATTCGTAAAGGAAAAAGAACCCACGCTATCTTAACATATGCAGGTTGGTTTCGTTTGAAATATGTTATTCGATTCTTTGCAATTTGTGATCGTTCGAATAGCATCTTCCAAAGGAAGAAAAAAATTATAATTATACTCCTTAACATATTTCGAGTAGAAAGATTGGTCTTGCATATGGAGCCAAAAAGGAATAAAAAAAAGAACACTCATTCGACGGCAACGTCGACTGAGCCACGATGATCTCATAACTCTCAACAACATACATTGGTATACACAACGTTTCAAGTTTTAAAAATATGTACAATTAGATGGACGAGTACTATAACATAGAATTAATACCGATTCATANTATATATATATATATATATATAGAAAGAGAGAGAGAGAGAGAGAGAGAAGAAGAGAGAAAGAGAGAAGAAGAAGAAGAAGAGAGAGAAAGAGCTCGAATTACTATACGGTAGAACTGAGTAGTTGAATTGAGTGACTTCGTATATCGTCTACCGTGTCTCTAATCTCGTAGACTCTAGTAGATGATTAATTAAAATAACGGAATAATAATGAGAATACCTTTTAATTTATAGATCATGGCTTCGATGTCCTTCTCGGACGTGGCGACGATAGACGCGGAGTGGAAATTGTTTTTCATGTCGACGTTCTGATTCGCCGTCTTGGTGCCGCTCAATAGATCATCGTCTAGGATATCGATGTCCAGTCTGGAGTCGTTGAAGTCTCTCGGCGAGTCCATCTCGATCTCGGATACACCTCTTGGAGTGTCGCCGGCCTCGCTGGACTCGGACGAGCCATCCTGCTCCTGCAGCCGCGAGACTCTCTCACGCAGTTCGTATATTATTTGGGAGGACTTGTCGTTCTGCAGTCCCTCGTCCTGTAATTTCGAGGAAATCCTGCTGCTGCTGCTCTTCTCCTCGTCTATGCCGGTATCGCTCGCCGCCCCTATCGGTTGTTTTCTTCGCGATACCGTCGCCCCTTCCACGAATCGATCCCCCGATTCGTCCTTGTAAAATCCTTCACCGATCTTATCCTTCGCCAGCTCAGGAGACGAAGCGTTGTTCTCCGCGGAGACTTCCGCAGCCAGGAGCTCGCTGATCTCCTCCGTCACGCTCCGCGCATCTTTCTCGTCCTTCGGCGAATCGCTTGCAGAGTCGGCCGATGATTTCTGCGAGATCTCGTCCAATATTCTCAGGACCTCGTCCGATTTTTGCGTAGCCTGATACTTCTGCGGTAAGCCGGCGGATTTCCTCATGGCACTTGCTTTCGGTAGCTCGTTCTTGTCTAAAATCTCAGACACCTCGAGGCTCTCCTCGGAAATGTCTTCATAGTCTGGATCTTTCAGTATATCAAAGGTTTTGTTGATACCGTCGGCTATTGGTTCATTCGATGTTGCGACTTCGTCGTTCTCCTTCCTTGGAGACTCGCTCGCGTTGGTCGTGTTACGGTCTGTTGCTTGCCCCTGAGTTCGTACGGAGACTTCTTCATCGTCCGCTTCTGATTCCGCGGAAGCTCGCAGCGGCGCAACGAGTTTCTCCACAGTATCTAATCCGCTTTCAGCGACTTCCACTAAATTGTCCAGCTGCTCGCCGTCCGAACTATCTTGCTCCGTGATTGGCTCCAAGTATTCTTGTATCTCCACTGGAACAATGCCTCCTCCGCTTTGCTTCTCAACACTTGCGGTTTCCTCGTCCTCGGCCAGTTCGACCTTAACGTCGACTTCGAGTTCCGGTAAAACGTGATCCTCCATACTGTCCGAATCCAATTCTGTTATTATAATTTCCTGGCCCTCCAACATCGCTTCACGCAGACTTTCGTCATTATCGATCTCCACGTGTAAATTCGTATCAATGGCAGATTTCTCGCCGGTATCATCGGCCGCTCGCGACGAAATATCTATCGCTTCTTCACGATTGATAGATTTAGAATAGATATCGTCAGATTTATTCGCGGAGACTAAGTTTCCTTCGCTTACATCTTTTTGTGTCTCGTCATTAAATATTGCTTCAGATCGTTCATCCGCAGGGACATTTATCTTATTATTATGTGAAATTTCTGGCATATGATTACTTATGCTCTTCTCGTTATCATCGACATGTTCAACCTTCTCCAACAAGTCAGTTACAGAACCAGAGATTACGTTAGGAAACTTTTCGTTCTCGTTGTGCGGGCTTTCTTTCTCATCGTTTTCTCTAGCAATTATATCCAATATGTCGTCAAGTTCGTCGTGACTTTTTGTCGCGTGAGGTGTCATGTCGGCAAGTATAATATCGTGTATTTCAATGTTGGTCGATTCTCCCTTCGGAATAAACGCCGATATATCCACGTAACTTGCCGAGCTCAATTCGACATTTCGCTTCATCGCGGCTTCAACGTGCGGTGTGTTCTTTTCTTTCGATAAATTGTTCAAATTGTTATCTATATACGATCTCGAATTCTCGGACTCTGAATCTCCTTCTTTTTCCACCGCTCCAGTGCTAATTTCGCTCTGAGGTACTTCGAATGATTCAGATGTCGTCCAGTCATCGTTCCTCATCAATATATTCACGCTAATTGTACGCGACTGATCTTCGACGTTAGATGTTATTGAATTTTCAGTATCGTTGAGCAGTCTAATCGACTTTTGAATATCTTTAATGCGCTGTAAGTTACTCGACGTTTTTGTATCGTCAACGGTATTCGCTTCCAGTGACTCGACAATCTTCTCTGACGACAGGTCTTCATTGGCAGTGGTGCGCGACGTTTGATCAGTAAGTGCGCTATGCGAATTGATTTCCTTCGAACGGTGACCCGCAACGATGGGAGAATGCATCGATGTAACGATAGATTGTTCGGAGAGCCTCGACGAGTGCGACGCACTCGCTCGATCCTTCACAGGCTCTTCTTCCACCTTCGCTTCGTTCAGTTCGCTTCGCGCACCTGCATCGCTTTTGGAGCCATCGATGATCTGTGTCGCGGCATTCGTCGCGAGATTAAGGCTTCTCCTGCTTTCCGACACCTTGGAGAGAATCTCGGAAATCGACTTTACATCGAGCTCCAATGAGATCAGATCGTTCAACAGTTCTTCGTTCTCCTTACGCAAGTTTTGCATATCATTCTCCAATACCGGGCTTACGTTATAATCGCCGCGCGCCACTTTGGTGTGCTCCGACAATATGGATTTTTCTATCTCGTTCATGATCTCCTTGCTCTTAGCTTCGTAATCGATCTCGTGAGCCGAACTGGAAAGGGTGCCGGTTACTCCCGGTATTGTTGCGGATGTGTCTATTCTCTCCGATATATATTTATCATGGCTCAGATCATTCGAAGACTTTGACCTCTTGTCACCCGTTAAGGTGGAAAGGGACTCGGTGTGAATTTCTTTCTTGGGCGATATCGCTTTCTCTTCTTTGCTCCCGGTATGAACGACCCTGTCGCTGAAAGCTGACTTGGAAATTATCTCCGAGATATCTTGGGACGTGCTTCTTTCATCGTTATCTACCTTAGACTCCTCGTTCGTTTTGTTACTAAAGCGCGACATCATCTCCGAAAGTACTTTAAGCCCGTTCTCCAGAGAACTGATATTCTCGTTCAAATTCTTATTATTTAATTGCAGGAAGTCGAGTTTCTCCGAGAAGGTGAGTACATCGTGATTGGAAACAGCAGCGGCACTTTCCACCGTTGGATGGTCGGACTTGCTCGGAGCAGACTTCGAATAGTCAACATCGCCCATCTCCTCAGGAATATTCTCAGATTGCGTCGCGAGCGTCTGAAAACGATGACCGATTGGCCTGTCGTTAGCTGACTCTGTGTCAATGGTACTGCGATCTTTGGAAGACCCGGCATCTGATATCGTCTGCAATTCCGACCGCACTGTACTGACAATCGTTTCAATGTCCTCCGCATCGTGCGATACACTATTTTGTTTCGTCTCGATAGTGACGGATGCAGGAACAGTGTGTCTCTCGGAACGTGTATCATTCGACGACGCTGAAGTAGTTGTCTGAGGTTTACTACTACTGACTTCTGTCGACGTACATTCTTCAAACATAGACTGGGCGCTACGATCGGTGGTGCTCTTCAATTCCGTGGCGTTCCTGACGGACTTCTGAGAATTGTTCCTCTCGTGCCTGTCGTCGTATATCGCGGCGGTCACGATCTTCAACAAGTCTCTCTGCTGATTCCTCGTTAACACAAGGTCGGACTCCGACCTAGATCTCAACAGATCACTGCTCTTGTAGATGTCTTGTATTCTCTTGAGCGGTATTTCAGGTACTTTGAAGTCAGCCAACGACTTTGGCTCTATAGCTAACTTATCACTGTCTTTAATAGCTTTCTTCGACTCCAGCTTTTTGCGCATCTCGTGAATGGTCGTATCATATTTCTGTCAAGTAGAAAAAGAGGCGTTAAAAAAAAAAAATACAATCTCGATCATATCATGCCCACTTACCTTGATTTGATTCAGCAGATTTGCTTCCATAGCACGTAGTCTTTGCTTGGCCTGCTTTCTCGTTTCTTTTTTTAGACGCGATACTTCCATACGTCGTTCCGCCAATTTTTCAGTGAGAATCTCTATTCTTCCCTCAACGTCGCTCATATCGGTCGAAATAGTGGTATCTACAAAAAGTCGCATATTTCTCTCTATCTCTCCTCCGATTAAATCGAAATTTGTATGTACGCGGAAGCTACGCTTAATCGGTATTTAATAGAAACTAGGAAAAGCACACGATATTCTTGAACGAATTGAGAGAAACCGACATTCCTCTCTTAGTGAAAATTTAATGTAATAAAGATTTTGTCCCTCGCGATGGTATCTATATTTGTTAATTTCATATTGAAACGCGTACATTGCGATGTCACCACACCAAAGTTCCCACACAGCAATGTGTGTGCGTATTACCTTGTTGTGATAAAACATTAGATGTTGCCGCAACAATTTTCAGTGCCGCCTGCTCCATGCGATTCACCTTCTGCTCCTCTTCTCTCAACCTTGTGTGCCACGCCATCCAGTCATCTACGGTGTTCTTCCGCGACGCGAGTGCAGTTTCGCGTGCAGTCAAGATTCTGAGGATAACGAAGAAGTATGTAGGGTCTAAGTATGTTTAAGAATATACATGCGTGCATACCCGACACGCGGATTGCCTCTGCAGAGAATCTATTTTTACAATGCTTCACTTGATGCGGTGTGAATGCACAGTTTATTATTAGACCAGCCGACACACGACTTTAGTGATTCAAGATTTTATTAGCGGAACGCGTATTGTGCACGTCTGATGGTGTTTCGAAAAGACGCGCGTAATATCGAAATGAAAAAGAAGGAATAACGAACATTCGTGTGTTACTTACTCTCCGAACTTGTCTGCCTCGAAATTTTTATCCTGCGATCTGAGAACCACGGAGAGATTTTTCTCGCTTTCCTCGGAACTGTGATGTGAAATTGTAAGAGCGTTGAATTGAGACGCGGATATATTTTGAATGGCCCGTTCCTTCCTAAACAGACGTTCATTGTTCTCGAATTTTCTGTTCGAAGCCTGACTGGATACGTTCTCCTTACTTTCGTAATCGTTAATCGTCTCACTCAGTAATTTCGAGTTCTTATCCTTCACTTCTTTCGAATGCCTAACCAGCGCCTGAAGCGAATTCTGGCTTTCGTTAAGATCCAATCGGCCCAATACCGAGCTTTCGTTATTATCGTCTAACTGAAGCAATTCATTCTCCACTCTTGTTCGTTTGTCGTGATGCTTCATAAGCTTCTCCAATACGTGAGAACTAGCTTTGGGTCGCGATAAATTTTCCGTTAATGTGCTGGAGGATGATTTTGTTTTCTGATGCTTGGAACTCTTGCGTTTGGAGCTTGATTTCAACTCGATGCTATGTTGCAGCTTCTTAGAAACATGATCCTTATCGCTCGCAGGTGATTTATCAATCTTCCTCGAGCTTTTAGCGTTACTTGTCTGTAATATATCTTCAGTGACTTGCGACGATTTCGTTGCTTTCGAAACGGTGTACTGAATCTTCGAATTGATCTCTTCCTCTACAGATTCGCTATTGGTAGATACAATATTGACAGCCAGTTCTTTTCCTTTTGAGACCGTCTGAACAAAGGGATCCGCTATTTGCGACGTTTTCGATCCCAGTATCGACGACGACACCTCAAAAGGTTTCTGATTTTCCAAAAGACGTTTTATACTCATGGAATGGCTTTGAATCCACTTTGACTCGAGATCGAACTGATTCTGTTTCTGCCGCAAAATCTCCGCCTTGGGCATTTTCTCCTCATACTTCCGAGACTTCGACTCATACCTGGACATGTCGTTTCTCTTTTGCGGCTTCAGAGAAATCTCCTCGTGTGACTCATTACTCTCAGCCAAATCGTCAAATCTAGTCGCCGATGTGTTAGATTCCTCGGCCAGATTTTCACACTTGTCGGACTTGGCAATATCAGGCTTGGACAAATGTATATCACTTTCGGATACTTGTAGACGTGCATCCGCTTGAGACCGATCGTGTTGGGATTTGTCCGAATCGATTAAGGAACTTACAGAACTATTACTGCGTATATCGTAACCCTTCATAGGACCAGATGATCTTCTTGGCGACTGGCTATCTGCGCTTCTTTTCAATTTCGTTAAGATATTTTTCGTCGACAAGTGTGGGTTAAACATGTCCCTCTGCTTTTGTAGCATAAGCTTCCGTTCCTGGCTCGCAATTTCGTGCAGTTCTTTTAATCTATGAATAAAGAATATTCTTTCATATAAAAAATACGTACGCAACATTACTATACGTACCTGTTCATCTCATCTTGCTCCTCTTGCAATTTCAAAAGTAAAGCTCTCTGCTTCTTCTTCACGGAGCTAATGAGATGGTCGTCCTGTCCCGTGTCTCTCAATGCGCGTTTTTCCTCTTCCAATTCCGCCAATTTTTTCGTTCTGTCGTTCAAAAATTTCTCACTTTCTTTAAACAGCATTTCTAATCTATCGTATCTTTGATTTTCGTCTCTTAACAGCTGCGCTAACTATAAGAAATGAAATACAAAACTGAATGTTTAATTAGTACGTATACATATAAATTCAGGCACATAATGGGGTATACGTACACTTAATTGTAAATACTTCTTAAAATCTTTGTTCTTAACCCAACATGTTAAGTCTCGAGTTGAGATACTAATCTCATTTCCAGTTTCTGTTTTTATTGACGAAGTAGTTTCGTGTACACTAATCTCCGACATGGTTATTCGGCTGGGCACCGATATCCCTTCTATCTGATCCAGATCTTCGAATTGTCCAGCTGAATCTAAAGACAGATGAGGATATTCGTTCTCTCTCAAGGATTCGTACATACGGATGTCCGATAATTTGTTGTTTTGCGTGTTCCGCTTGTCCACGTATGTATCCGTCTGGGTTGCCATATCATTCACAGTTTGTGTCTGCACTTCCGCCACTTGTTTGATAACTTTGGCTTTAAAATTATCGATCGTTTCATCGATTTTTGCCTGGTTCGAAGCGTAATGTTCCCTGATAAAATGCACGTCATCGCATGCGTGCAGTTTTCTCGTATTTGCAACGTCTTTTTTCCCATAGTCCAGTGATTTCCATACGGCTATAAGAAATATGTACTATAAGACACAACATTCCCTGCTATTGCGCTTATGCATGTCCACATAATAATGACATGTCATATTTCCAGATGTATAATTACATTCTAGTTACTACATATATATATATATATACAGCTTCTTACCATTTTCAGCAAAATTATCAGCTGTAGCAATCACTCGACCTTCTTCAACTCGTATATCTTCGCCTTTCTCACTATCCATTTGTGGATTCTTTTGTTCTTGCTCGCGCTTCATATTGTGGAAACACTTCTCGACTTCCGCAGTATTCTTATAAGCCTCATTGAGAGACTCGAAGAGTCCACATTCTGCCTGAAGTGTCATATGCAGAGCTTCTGGATGTTTCTAAAATTGTAATAAGTTTTTATTTTTTCAAACATACATTAACACGATTAAACGTATACCAGTATATCCATATTTACCAATTGCGTCTTTTCTTGCTCCTTCTCAGATTTTGCCGTTAATTTGTACTTTGAACATCTTGCATCCACTTCTGAATCGCTGCTTTGTATCAAGTATCTTCTTTGCTTAGGTCTGGGCATAAAATCAAATTTGTCCGGTGTAGTTAAATTATGAAATTCCTCTTGCTGAGAATAACTGTTATCCCTGAAAGAGATTCTCCTAGGATCGAACAAATCCTCTGGCAGTATAGTAACATCCACGTCGTTCGTATCATCATTAGTAGTTGTTTGTTCAGTTGTAGTGATACCCTGAGAATACAACTCTTCGTCCTTCTTAACAGTTACGCTTGTGGACTGTGTCGCAACATGTTCTGCATACTTGAAATTCTCCGAGATTTTAGCCAATCTGACAGAATTGACGTTCTGCTTGCTTTCCATCATTGTTTCGGTATCTTCACTTTTTGATTGCTGTACAGAACTTACAGGATAAACACTTACACGATTCTTGGAGCTGTTTGTTTCAGACTCGATATCTTCTGACGGTTCAGTAGTAGCGTTATGTATCTTTCCTTCGATTTTACTAGACAAAGCTTTACTCTTTTCAGACACTCTCTTTATTTGCTCCTTATGTGTAGTATTTGGTTTATCTTGCTTTAATTGTCTATTATCTGAATCACATTTATATTTTAAGTCTTCTACCTGCCTCAAATGGCAAATGTCTTTAGATTTATTTTCAGTATTGCTAGATAAAACAGTCATGCTACTACTATTATCTCTCGTTGTAACTTTATCTGATACTTTCCAAGGTACAGAATCCAGTGGTGATTTTTTACCGCACGTTCGTCCCTTGAACTCTAGAGGAATGTCTTTTGCTAATTCTACAGATTGTGTATTAAACGACCTCTGTCTTTTCTCATTATCTTTCTTAGCGGTAGATGTTACAAAAGTTTTAACCTTGGATTTTGTCGACAAAAAGTCGTTACTTTTTGTCGTATGAAATGGTAATCGATCATTCTTCAATCTCGTCGTTGTGATACTATTCATACTATCAGCCATATCTCTTCTGGAGACACGTCTTGGACTTTTACTACGTTTCACTTGGTCCTGCACAGACTCGTCCTTCTTTGTACACAAGGAGTCATCCTTCTTTATTCTCTTGGATCTATTTTCCTTTTCTCTAGAGCTATCTCTGATGTGTATGTGTTCCTTCTTTTTGCTAAAATTAGAAGCTATGGATACATTTGGTGCCTTCAGTGGTTCTATGCTTTCACAATTAATAGTTGATGGGCCATCCGATGAGGAAAAGTCCAATTTCCTCTGTACCCTCTCACCAACTTTTGCTGTTTTGTCTGATCTATCGTACGATAATTCTTTCACAGCTATCTCAGACTTTGTTGAAGGCAATTCCTTTGAGACAGAATTCTCTCTACTAGAGAAATCCAGAGTTTTTGGAGAAATTTTCAAATCTGGTACTTTTAATGGTTTAAAAAAATCCATTTTTTGTACAACTTGATAAGGATTCTGTTTAAAATTTGTCTTCAATACCGGAGATATCAGGTTGTTTCTTGCCTGTGAGCTTGGATAATGTATCTCTGTATTGTTATTGGACAGACCTCCTAAAGCAAGTTTTTGTTTAACAGCACTAATAAATGTAAAGGGATATGGTTGTACAGGATGATACGATAACAAATTTTCTAGATTCTTTATGCCAGATGTAGAAGCTGGCAAGTTAATTGATTGTTTTCCAGAACCTAGCTGTTGTGCTTCAAAATCTCGCCTAATCTGTGCTTCCTGCAGTAGAATTATATAAATTATTATATATACATATATATTTATACAAGCTGAAAAGGAAAAAAAACAGGTACTACTCACAATAGCAGTGGTTTCTGCACGTTTAACAATAACGTCTGGGTCCGAGAAGAAAACATATCCTTTCTTATTATTGGACTTTTCTTTCTGACAACCGCTCTTCATATCTTCATTCTTCAACCATGTGGATAACATCCCACAAAATGTTTTTATTATCTATCCACATTCCTCATGTATGTATGTAAGTAATTGCAGTGAGATTCAAGAGTTGCGCGCAACTGCAAAGATTACAATCTACTCAATATCACTGAAAAGACAAACCCCTTTTAACTGCTTGAAACAACGTCTCTACGATTAACCTAACTGCCTTGTCAACTCTTTTCAGCAACACCGCCGAGTAACTCGTGATCTCGGTAAAATAAAAGTTGAAGGCTCACTTACCGACGCGCGAGATCGATTATTTTACAATTTTTAACAGGCGTGCGCCACGCACAATACCACAGCAGCTCAGCAGTTTGTGACAACGGCCGTTTGTAAACTGCGGTCACGTGGTACGGCAGGACTTGCTACTTGTTCGATGCGACGAAACATGGCAACGACGAAGATTACATTGGCGAACGAATGATCGATAATAACGCGAAGATGCGACATGAGGAGGCGCGTACATACACCTGACGGGAAATGCCACATGACAGTTCCTCCGTGCACGCTACACGCGCACGATAATAATATGCCGGGCGTACACCATGATCGGACCGTGCTTACGGCCGTATTTTGACGTTCCGCAGGATCTCCCTCTCTCTCTTTCTCTCCCTCTTCTACTCGTCCCAAATTGCCGTAAAAAACTGCGTGGACTCGCGCGACATGCGTATGCGCCGTCACACATTCCAGCGGAGCGACGTGCGCCCAGCATACATATTCGGTTGTAGTGATCATCGAGCCGACCAATCGCGAGCCGCCAACGATGTACCTCCGCGACGATTGGCTCGATTGGCTCCGTGGCGCATATATATCGCAACACGGCGCCACTCGCTCCTCCAAATTCAAAAAGGTAACGGATAAGTTTCTCACGTTGCTCACAACGGCGTCACTCGGGTTTCTTTCGTGCAATAAATTAACGTTTTACACAAGAAATCAGGTACGTATCTGATGTATGTGCGTGCGTATGAATGATTACGAGTTATCGTGACGTATTCTCCTTTCAGCAGAATAAGGATAACTTCGTCACAATGACGGATCAACTAGAGTGGAAGCCGATAGTGCAGAAAACCATTGTGGAGCTGGAACAGGCGCTTGATGAACTTCAAAAGATTTGGGAGGATATAGGATGTAACAAGGAGACGCGAGCGATGTATTACGAACAAGCGCACAGCCATATAACTGACCTGCTGAATGACATGGTGGCTGAATCACAGACCAAGAAGCAGCTGCTGGTAGACAGTATAGAAAGTCTGTTGGAACAAACAACGGTACTGTACGCAGAACTGCATCTCGACATGGTACCCAACACTTACGATCAAGTGCCCTTGAGCAAGGTAGAGCAGATGCTTCGTGCAGATCTGAAAAATTTGGAACATGTAAAGAAGGAACGTTTGCTGATTTTAAAAGAGTTGTTGGCGAAGGAACTCGATATTGCCACGAAACTTGGCGCTAAGGGATTAAGTATCTCTGAAAATATCCTGCCCACTGAACAGGAACTTGAGAATTTTAAGTTATACCTTCAGAAGCAGGAGAACGAGAAGAATCGGTTGGAAAATGTCTTCACCGATATGCGTTGCTCTGTAGTTAAGATGATGAACGATCTAGATAAAACTCCATCTTCATCGTTTGAGCATTTAATTTATAATAATCCTGATGATTTTGTACTAAATACAACCAACATGACAAAATTGAGAGATTTCAGGGATCAGTTGAAAGTACAACTGGAGGAAACAAGATGTCGCGTGGAGAAAATGAAGGAGGATCTGATGAAATTGTGGAAATATCTCGATGAACCTGAGACTTGTCACTCATTTCTCGAAAAGTATCCTGGTTACTGCGCTGCCACTGTAAATGCTCTAAATACAGAGATCAAACGTTGCAAAGAAAAAAAGAAGGAGAACATTTCTAAACACGTCATGGATTTGAGATATCAACTGATTAATTTATGGGACTTGTGCAAATTCTGTGAAGCAGAGAGAAACTCGTTTGCAGCATTTCATTCTAGTACATTCACAGAAGATCTATTGATATTGCATGAGATGGAAGTGGAGAAGTTGCAGAAGTTTTATGACGATAACCAGGTAATATTTGATCTTCTGGAACAGCGTGAGAATCTTTTGAAGAAGACAAAGGAATTGATTCAACGAGAAAATAACCCAGATCGCTTTCACAATCGTGGAGGCCAATTGTTGATGGAGGAGAAAGAACGCAAAGTCATACAAAAGAAATTGCCCAAGATGGAAGAGGAATTGAAACAATTAATGAACGAATACGAGAAGAAACATAATCGTATATTTACCATCTACGGTATATCACTGGAAAATATCTTAGCAGAGTCTTGGGAAGATATTAATCACGAGAAAGAGAATATCAGGAAAGGGAGGAGGGAGGCGAAAGATAAATCCGTGAAGAAGTCGCCCCTGAATAGCTCCAAGAAAACACCTGGTACGTCCCACTTGAGCATTCACAAAGGCCCACTGGGATTGTTGAAACGAAAATTATTCAGCCTTTCTCCTAATACGTCGGCGAAACGCAGGAACAAAATTGTTGACAAAAATAAGCCTTCTGTTGCTGGGTCTAAGATAAGAAGAAGCGGCAAGCTAGCAAAGAACAATCAAAAAGGACTCAAGAATATTCCTAGAAGAAGTAGAGGCTCAGCATCGGCGAATAATAGCATAATGGACACAACATATAATCAATTCCAAGGTCACATGACAAGCAGAGAAGAATTACACAGCTCGATGATACCGGAACAGATGTTGAAAATCTCCAGTAAAATTAATGTCAAGACACCAGTGAGGACACCTGCGAAACCATTGAGGAAAAATCTCATCACCGTTACGACTCCCACTTCCAATTCTGCACGTAAATCACCGCATAGCCCTAGAACCGTTAATACTCCTAAATTAGCAACAGCTTTAAGTAACTTACCTTTTATCTTTTAATATTTAATATTTTTGTTTAAGATGATGTCATCACAAAACAAATTTTACTTTCGAAAGTGACCTGCGAAGTGATTCAATTCAATTTTAACATTATAATTGTGCTAGCATAAATAACTAATATAAATTATTATATGATGACCGGAAAAGTAAACATAAAAATTGTTTTTATATAGCCCACGTGCAGCGGAGAGTACGAGTATTGGTTTAATAAATATAATTACTTATTTTAACACGTTAGATAAAGCTAACAAAATTGAAGCTAACACTTCAGTTTTTTGCGATATTTCTGTTTCAATGAACAGGAGTATTCTTCAATGCAATTTTTATACGCAACTGAGATATATTAAGTAGATAAAAGTGATTGTTATCGTACTTGCCCGTAATTCAATAGCAATCCAATGTACAAGCATTTTTCTAACAGTTTTTAGATATAACACTATTTATAAGTGGGATATGGTTTTTATTTTTTATGGATAACACTACACACTAAACCTTTGTAAGTATTTATTTTATTAATAATAATACTTTAAATATTTTCTCTCTGGGATAAATATGCCTAGAATTTTTTTCTGATTTTATTTTGATATGTATTAAACGGAAAAGTATCGGTATTCAATATCTCACTTACATTTTCCAAGGTGTTATTTATTTCGGCAAAACCAAAATCAATAGTTGTTAAAATAAGTTATTAATGCTATTTATAATTATATTGTATGAATCGAATTGAATGTATGTATATGATTGTATTTGTATAGTTAGATTTTATGCAGAAAGGAAGTGAAGCGAAAATCTTTCTGTGGTCTAACTTTAATTAGTTTAATGTAGATAAGGTCTATGATAAAATAATACAATGTATCTTCATAAATAAAGTTAAATAAAGTTCTAGCATAAATTTAGTATAAATTTCCTTTTAAGTAAAATGCTCTTACAAACGAAAAGTGTTTGAAAGGGTATAGGTAGCATACTCTAGCGTTCGATATAAGATTTAACACGTTCATTGCCGATCACGCGTTATCACGTAATAGGTATTTAGAGTACATAAATCCTATATACATAATAATAAAAGCATATAAATAATATATTAACTTATTTTCAGCACAATAAAAACTAAATAAAAAAATACGAAATTCCAATTTTCAGCTTGGCAATGAACGTGTTAAGAAATGTAAATACTACACAGCTATCTCGTCGGCGAGACTGCGGTCGAGATAGCAATAGTCGTAGTTAACAATAGATGTTGGAAAGGTAGAGACAGCGAGCGGATACGTCGGCTCGGGTCGAATCAGCCGAAGACGGCCGAAGCTGCTCACGGACACACGACGCTTGTGAGCGTGTGGCTCGGTGCCGTTATTGGCATCACTGATGCTGGGTCAGATTTAGGTTAGGTCAGTGCATTCGTACTTGACGAGACGAAATTGTTTAGGTTTTGTGCGAGGAATAGTCTACGATTCTCTCGCGGCTACTGTGCGATTTCACTTCCAACCAACGAGTAAAGTGTTGCAGCAACAAGCAAATCGAAAATGGGTGATATAAAATCTTTTTTCCACCAGTGGTGTGGAAAAAACTCAAAAGAGCCGCAATTTGATGTTCGTCCTACAGGTAATATGTATGGTAATGTGTTGTCGTCCGAAAAAAGTTAGGTTATTGCACACTTCGACATGAAATTATGACACCTAATTTGATGTGTAACAGGACCGAAGCATAAGCAACGGTTTCTTTGTGAACTGCGAGTACCCGGATTTGACTATGTCGGTGCGGGCAATTCTACTAATAAAAAGGACGCACAAGGCAACGCTGCTAAAGATTATGTTAATTACTTGGTTCGCACGGGTCGTGTGAATCCTGTCGATGTACCGAAAGAAAGTTTGACTGTGCAAGCAATAGCATCGAATGATAGCAATGCAAATATACCAATGGCTCCGATGCCAATAAAATCAGTATATCAAGGAGGCATGGGACCGAATGATATCGGTCAAGCTTATAGGCCTTATAGCGAACATGGTCAAAGTAACTACACGTACATGGACAGATTGGCGGATCAAAAGAAGGTGGAAGACGCTGAGGACGTTGATGTGAACTCTGGCATACATGGGAACTGGACGATAGAGAATGCAAAATCCAAACTCCACCAATTTATGCAAACTAACAAAATTAACACCGATTACAAATATACTCCGGTTGGTCCGGATCATACTAGGTATGGTGTCTTGCAATAGAGTCCTTTTCTAGGACTGGAGTTACAATGCAGTAACATTAGTTAAACTTGCATCTTGCGATTGCCTTCTAAAGTATTATCAATTGTCGTACCATTTGAAATTTTACAAGACCACTTTGGAGTACATTGCTCATTTCAAGCACATCCAAAGCTGGTGCAAGAGAGCAGCTGTTGACTCTCTTGTGCACAGATAACTGCGATGGCACTTATAACCAAAACTTTTATTAAAGTAATAAAATTTAATAATGGTTTTGGTGCAATTATCCCAAGGAACTTTCTTCAATGTACTCCAATCTGGTCGTCTGTGACATCTTCAAATGGTAAGTTATTGTTATTTGTTGCAATTAATTAAGGGAATAAATGGAACGAACAGTAAACCTCAAAGTAGGCAATTGTTTCAGAGATAGTGATTTGATTACATTTTTTATACACATATCCTTGGTTTCAGTGAACTCCATAAGAAATTATTGAACATTTCTTTTATTTTTGTTCCCTTAATTATTCATTGCAGTGGTGATGCATAATGTGTGTGTGCTGTTTATTATAATGTCAACATTATTTTTCACAGGAGTTTCATGGCAGAAATGTCGATTTATGTCGCCCAACTTGGACGAAGTATGTTAACATTCACTTGCAAAAATATTGAATCGTATATTAGATCAAAATTTCATAATGTTATAATATGCATTAGGTATCACTGGGCGCGAAACTGGATCAAACAAACAAACAGCTTCAAAAAGTTGCGCTTTGTCTATCGTCCGCCAATTGTATCACTTGGGTGTTATTGAAGCATTTAGTGGTACATTAAAGAAAAATAAAGATGCAGAACTGCTAAAATCTTATCCTGTTAAAATATCTCCAGATTTGGAAAGTCAGATCCACGAAGTTTTAGAGAAGTTGGAGATAAAACCAGTTAATATTAGCAAGGTATTAATCATCATTTAATTGATACGTTACGAATTATGTATTTATTTTGTATTATGTATTATTACATTATGTATTTATACTTGGCCGCTTTTACTAAAATATCTAATCGGATTAATAAATTGAAACTAAAGTATTTACTCACGCATAATATAGGCAATGCCGCAAGTAAAAATAGAAGGTAACCACCACAACTCATCGAGTATCGGTGGTATATCTTTGTTGACGAATCAAGTCTTGGACGATTTCATATCGTCTGTGCCACAGCCTGCTGGCGTTGTGAGCTGGTCACCACCTCAGCCAAATTGGAATCCGTGGACAGGATGTAACATCGACGAAGGACCTTTGGCGACGACGTCCTTGGATCAATTGTCGGAAAATCTGATGAACGAACAGCGAGTCAAGCTGCAGGACGATTCCAGCCTGCAAGCGCGAATCAAGGCAAGATCGAGCTTGCCCGTTTTCAACATGAAGAAGGATATTATGAATGCCATCAACGACAACCCGATTATCATCATACGCGGCAACACGGGCTGTGGCAAAACTACACAAGTTTGTCAATTTATTCTGGACGATTACCTCGCGTCCGGCCAAGGCGCCTATTGCAGCATAGTTGTCACTCAGCCTAGACGAATCTCGGCCGTGTCGGTAGCCGACAGAGTTGCCGCAGAGAGATGCGAGAGTTTGGGGCAATCGGTTGGATATTCCGTTAGATTCGAATCCTGCTTGCCGAGGCCTTACGCCAGTGTAATGTTCTGCACAGTCGGTGTACTTTTACGGAAATTAGAGGGCGGTCTTAGAGGCGTGTCGCACGTTATCGTCGATGAGATTCACGAGAGGGATGTCAATTCTGATTTTATCATGGTGGTGCTTAGAGATATGATCCACATGTATCCTGATCTCAGACTTATTCTTATGTCGGCCACGATCGACACCACGCTGTTCAGCGATTACTTCAACAAATGTCCTGTAATAGAGATACCTGGTAGAGCGTTTCCCGTGCAACAATTCTTCTTGGAAGACTGTATAGAACTGACCAAGTTCGTGCCGCCGATCATTTCGGGCAAACGTAAGTCCAAGGAAACAGACGACATGCCGTTGGACACCGAGCCCGAGGAGAATCTGAACAAGGTTGTCGATAATAAATACTCATTCCAAACGAAGAATGCTATGGCACAGTTAACGGAGAAGGAAATAAGCTTCGAGCTGATAGAGACGCTGTTGCAATACATAAAGGGACAGGATATCCCGGGCGCCGTGTTGATCTTCCTCCCCGGCTGGAACTTGATATTTGCGCTGATGAAACATCTCCAGCAGCATCCTATCTTCGGCGGGTCGTCCTACTTCGTCATCCCGCTGCACTCGCAATTACCTAGAGAGGATCAACGGAAAGTCTTTGATCCTGTACCGTCTAGCGTGACGAAGATCATCCTGTCTACGAATATCGCGGAAACTTCGATTACGATTGACGATATCGTCTACGTCATAGACTCTTGCAAAGCCAAAATGAAGCTATTCACGTCTCACAACAATATGACCAATTACGCGACCGTTTGGGCCAGCAAGACGAATCTAGAACAGCGCAAGGGTAGAGCGGGCCGTGTCAGGCCCGGCTTCTGCTTCCACCTTTGTTCGAGGGCCAGATACAACAAGATGGACGAACACATGACGCCAGAGATGTTCAGGACCCCTCTGCACGAACTGGCCTTGAGCATCAAATTATTGAGATTAGGCAACATCGGGCAATTCTTATCGAAGGCAATCGAGCCGCCTCCCATCGACGCCGTGATCGAAGCGGAAGTTATGCTGAGAGGTACGTGTCTGCATTTTCTTTTTTCCTTACGACTATTCTACGGTGCGAGACTTTTTCGCAGAGATGAAATGCTTGGACAAGAACGACGAGTTAACGCCCCTCGGCAAGATCCTGGCGCGTTTGCCGATAGAACCACGTCTAGGTAAGATGATGATTCTGGGATGTATGTTCCGCGTCGGCGATGCGCTCTCGACGATGGCCGCGAACAGCACCACCTTTCCCGAGGTGTACAATATGGGTCCCGACGTGAGGAGGCTGACCATGCAGCAGAAGTGGTTCGCCGGCGCGAGGTACAGCGACCACGTCGCGATGCTGCACGCTTTTCAAGCGTGGGAGGAGGCGAGAACGGGCGGCGAATACGCGGAACAGATGTTCTGCGATACGAAGAATCTGAGCTTGCCGACCTTGCGTATAACGTGGGAGGCTAAGGTTAGCTCGATCGTGCGACACGTTGTTTCTCGCGCTATTCACGCTAAATATTTCTGCTCGTAGAATCAGCTGCAAGCGCTGTTACAAAGCGCCGGTTTCCCCGAGGAGACTCTGTGCGCGGTACCGTTGAATTATCAAGCTGGCGCGGATGTCCGGCTGGACACGATCACCGCATTGCTGTGCATGGGTCTCTATCCCAACGTGTGTTACCACAAGGAGAAGCGGAAGGTTCTCACTACGGAATCGAAAGCCGCGTTGATCCACAAGACATCGGTGAACTGCAGCAACTACGAGCAGAACTTCCCCTTTCCGTTCTTCGTGTTCGGAGAAAAGGTAAATGGATATCGGTAGGGAGATGAGTAATTCGATGCCTGCTTATCTTGCAACCACTCTCTCGCTGTCAGATTCGTACCAGAGCCGTGTCCTGCAAACAAATGACCATGGTGTCGCCTATCCATCTGTTATTGTTCGGTTCGCGTAAAGTGGAGTACGTGGACGGCGTGATAAGACTGGACAACTGGATCAATTTGGACATGAATCCCGAACACGCGGCAGCGATCGTCGCTCTACGACCCGTTCTGGAGAGTCTCGTAGTAAGGGCGTCCAAGGATCCGGAAACGATCCTAGAATTGAGCTCCATCGAGGAGAAAGTAAGAGTGTCTCTCAAAGTTCGGAACAATTATGTAATGATATATCGGTGACAAAGGATTACGCGATATATATTTCACGCAATAATAATATCTAAGAGTAAGAATCTCCTTTTTAACGATCGCACTGATAGAAGAGAAACTGTGTCATTCTTGTCAGGTGCTGAACGTGATCAAGGCGTTGTGCAGTATGAACGCATGCCGTTACGAGTTGGAACAGATAAGCAGCGGCGGTTTTCAGTTGCGCCGCCCTCCGCGACCGGATTTTCAGTCTTCCAACTATAACAATCCTCCGAAATTAATGCGCGGGGAAGATCATTTCCGCAGTTCCTCATTCAGTAGCAATAATTATCGTGGGAACTTCGGTGGATACAGAGGAGGACCAGGAGGCAGCGGCGGCGGTGGCGGCTATAACAACAGAGGATATGGAATGAGCGGCGGAGCACCGCGTGGTCGAGGAGGAGGCTATCGAGACTATGGTGGTGGATTTCGCGGTGGACGTTACTAATTGTTAAATCCACACGTAGGAAAAGGATTGGTTAATAAGAACCTTACCGTAGTTACTGTACGCACGATTTTTTTTTTATTAGCCATTTCTTTCTGCACACCTGAATTCTTTTTCAAGAGGGAGAAAGAGAGAGAGAATCGTACTTCATTATAAGTAATTTATAGCTGTTATTGCTAGAATTCGAATTTTTAGGTCGTAATTATATAAATGTCATTGAATATCATAATTATCGTATATAATTACAATTTTCATCAGATAAAAGCATCTTTTTTCATTATACTAGCAATATTGAGTCACTGTGCTATCTATGTGTCCTGATATATATGTCCTGATATTTATTTATCAGGGACCTCACTAGAATTAACATACAGCCCTAGGGCTTTATACGATTTTCAACCTTAGAATATATATATGTCAAGTATATATATATATATGTCAGATTGATGATTGTATAAATAATCAGTTATAATATTAAACACGTATAATGGTTGGTGTATATGTAACATGCAATTATTTCTAAATAAATACACAATATACTATAACAATGTCCGTTCCTCGAGCAGCTATCCAAGTAGTCATTATTTTATTGTTTATTGAAATAAAGGCTGTGCATACACACACACATATACAGGGAAGAAAAGGAATTTTCCGATTTGTACATAGCAACTTGATTGTAATTGAGCCACGTAGATCGACGATAACGTGCTATTAGCCAGTCCGAGCGCGCGCCACTGGCGTGTCGGGTGATGCCACAGCCACCTAACGGAAGTGAACCGAGATTAGGACAAAAAAGCAACATCGTCGGACAGAGATGTCGTGGATCTATTTCCGAACACGTCGTCGGGGGCAGAGTGGACGGCAGGTCGCTGGCTGACGAAAAATGGCGAAAATCCGCGCGGTGTGAGGGTGACCGTCCGTCGTCGATCGACAGTTGTGCCGTGCCGAGAGACGACCGCGAAGAGAAGAAGGACCGCTGAGAAATCCGAGTTGTAATGGGCCGCTCGCCGTCGCGGCAACGTGTCGCGCGACCGTGAACACGACTGACTGTCACGCTCGGCGCTCGCTCGTGGAGGACCAAAAAAAAGTGATTTCGCGGCTCGGTGGTTGCGAAACGTCACTCGACCCGCAACGAGTCTCCGATCAGCTATTCATCCATCCGTCCATTCGTTCGTTCGTTTGTACATAGACCTCGCATTACGAATTTTCCAACGAGTGACAAGAACGACGATAAGAGTACGGATAATGCTTGTTCGTTCACGGATCGCTCAAATCGGCAGCATCAATACGTTTGACGTCGCATTTGAGCATATTCGTTGTCCTCCCTGTGAGCCTTGAACGTATTCGCGAAGTTATATATATATACATACACACACACATACGCATATATATATATAGACACACATATATACACATATACATATATATGCAGTAATGCGTTATCTGACGTTCGGCTCGCTGACGAACGTGGATCGTGGTGGATTACTGTTGAGTCGCGCTTGGCAGATCGAGCGAACGGACGGTGTGGAAGGTGCTCCGACGGTCGGAAATGTACGCTTCTCGGCGCTCTCTAACGATGTCTCGCGAAGCGGTATTTGTTTAACTGGCTGTGAATAGTGCAACGTAACTGTATCAAGCCCAAAGAGTTGAGTAATATCAACGTATTATTTTTTTGTCCTCCTCTGTTACATTTGTTGCTTACACACATCGCGATAAGATTATTTCGAAATATTCATATTGCTTTTTAAAGTGCTGTGAGAAAATACAGCTGATGTTTCAGTCAACTTATGCATCACAATATATGTTATTGTTAAGATACTTAACAATAACACACTTTAGAACAAACGTATTTGTAAACTTGTTGTGCAAATCTGTCGTTGTAATACAATATTTTCCTATGTTACTTTCATAGATATATAGATATATACATATATACATATATAAAACATTGGTCAAAATGGATCAAGAAACGGTCTACGGCACGCATGAAGATAGTCATGTTGTCATGTCGGAGAAGGTGCAGTCTCTGGCGGGCAGTATCTATCAAGAGTTCGAAAAGATGATAGCCAGATATGATGAGGATGTAGTGAAAGACTTAATGCCACTGCTAGTCAATGTGTTAGAATGCTTGGATATATCTTATACTGAGAATCAAGAACGCGAAGTCGAATTAGAGTTACTACGAGAAGATAATGAGCAACTTGTGACACAATATGAGAGAGAAAAGCAGTTAAGAAAAGCATCAGACCAGGTAATGCTTCTTTCATGTTCATCAAGTTATCCTGTGATCTATAAATTATATCGTGTGTGTTTAAAATATATAATATATATATGTATAATGTAATATTTTTCTACCAGAAACTTCTCGAGCTGGAGGATGTTTCCGAAGATGAGAGGAAAGAGCTTTTATCGAAAATCGACAGCCTGGAATCCATCGTAAGAATGCTGGAGCTCAAGACCAAGAACTCCCATGATCATGGTACAAATGCCAATGGCGCTTCCAGTCTACCCATACACAGTTCTTTTTACAGTAGAGTAGATTATTTTGTTTTTTGATTTGTGTTGCACATTATTCATATGCATACGTTACATATTATACTACATGGTAAGAGTTGCATGTGAAAAATATGGGATTTAAATCGCTAACATATTTCTATATTATTTTTGGTTATTCTGGTATTCCATTATTCAATATTTATTTACTGTGCTGTTATGTTTGTTCTCTAATGCTTTACAATAAATAATTACTCTTTAAGTTGATAAAGTCAATAAGTGATGTTATTTTAGCTGATCTCTCGCTTAAATTGTATCAATCGTCTATATGTGTTTTATATGTCCTGTTTGGAACTGTTTCGTGTAAGTTATACTTTGTATTAGATACATTTCATATTTTTCCTCAGTTGGGCGGCTCGAAGAGAAGGAAGCTGAATTGAAACGCGAGTATTCCCGGCTGCACGATCGATATACGGAACTGTTCAAGACTCACGTCGATTATATGGAGAGAACCAAGATGTTAGTTGGCAGCACCGAAAGATTGGAAAGCGTATCTGCCGGCCGTGCGCCATCCAGATTACCTTCCCTTGGGCTTGCTCATATGTCGCGCAGTTCCGGACCATTGAGCTATGGCTTTCAGAGTTTGGAAGCTAGTATAAATGCCGAAGATGTTCACGAGGATATCGTACCAAATACCGCTAATTTAAGAACAGAGATGTTAGATAGTAGCAGTGAAGCTGCTATAGAAACGTCTGACAAAAGCCAACTAACCGATCAACCAGTACAAGAAAACAAGACCACAGCTATATCTAGACGTACGTTACTTTTAACATCTCACCTCGTATATTTCTCTTCTTTACAATTCTTGAGGTCTTGACAGTGAGAATACATTTCTGTAGACGAAAGTCCGGAAACGGAAGTACCGCCAACTCTAGTTACACCAACAACACCTACCGTGGAGAAGTTCGCTACTACTCCGAGTGGCAGGAGCAGGACCGAAAGGGAACAACGAAGTGGTAACACGTTGTATCAGGAATTAAGCTTCCAGGATGCCGATGCTCTCGGTGAGATGGACGAGGGAGCTGATATTACCGGTATTGTACACTATAAGGATATTATTTTAAGGTTTCTCGCGAAACTAAACCAACTAACAACTCCTCGCGAGACTAACCGACTCATAATCTTTCAGGAAGTTTAGTTCATCCTGGCGAATACGCTTCATCAGGTACGTCGGTTGAAAAGACAAGATCTTTGATATGTATATTGAATATATACATGTATTCGTTCATTCATCCATCTCTTTAGTTAACAACAGTTTTTCTTTAACTTATATTTGTATTCCATTCTTTGTGCCTCCGCATTCTATGCTGGCTCGTGTCATATCTGCAACGCGCGATTGCATGACACTAACTCACCGTGCAGTCAATGACAACTTCTTCGGTAAGATATACTATTAATAATGTCTTATTGAAACGATAGGTGAAATGGTTATTGCTTTCTACATGATAACTACTTATCGGTCGGAATGGACAATCATCATTACAACAAATACATATCGTCTCTATTTGCAAAATGTCCTTTTTAATTCTAATTGTTATGCACTATATCATAATTAAAATATTAAAGGATATTTCATTTTTTAAATATATTTAAATTTGTATGTTAGTTTCTAAACTGCATTCTAGATGTTATATGGTTACACGTTTGTGTATTTTTTTTTTTTTTTTACATAGGTATGGGGAAGGAAGTAGAAAATCTTATTATGGAGAACAATGAACTGCTAGCCACGAAGTAAGTCCTGCAATTAGTACTTGAAAAAGATGTAAGACTTGTTAAGTTACGCGTAAAATTTCACAGTCTAACAATGTGTGTTTCCTTACAGAAATGCGCTCAATGTTGTCAAAGATGATCTAATTGTTAAGGTGGATGAATTGACGAGGTGAGTTGTCGTCAAATATTTCCCTTACGCAAGATCGTTACGACTTTGGGACATTATTGGAAATTATTCAAAACTTTCAGTGAGCAAGAGATATTGCGCGAAGAGGTTCGAGGTTTACAACAGGCACGAGATCGATTGCGACAACGAGTTGGCGCGCTCGAGGAGGAGCTGAAGAAGACCAAAGAGGAAGCGGAAGCTGCGGCTAAAGCGACGAAGAGTGACGACGAAGAGGATGTGCCGTTGTCACAGAGGAAGCGGTTTACGCGTGTGGAGATGGCAAGGGTGCTCATGGAACGAAATCAGTATAAAGAAAGGTTTATGGAACTTCAAGAAGCCGTCAGGTGGACAGAAATGATACGAGCCAGCAAGACCGATCCTTCCAGTATTTCGGGAGGGAAGGGTTCAGTGTGGAAGTTGTACGTTTATTACACGATATAATTCTAGCTTAGACGATCGGGGTCGAAAAGAAATTAATCCGGTATTCTCGCGATTCAGTTTTAGTAATCTCTTCACGGGACCGGCCGATCGAGGGACCTTGGTACGTTCCACGCACACGTTGCCACATGTGCGTTATAGCGCTCCGGCCAACCAGGTCGTACCGGCGCCGCCTTTGGATGCCATGCGTAGACGTACGTTGAAAAGTCGCCAAGATTTTCTCGACCAAGGAGACACCATGTGAGAAATCAATCAAATTTTATACATGCACGTAGATATCACGTCGATTCGACATCGGGACCTGCCTAATTTTGATCTGATTAGTTAGACGAGACTTTTGTTCTCTCTCTCTTTCTCTCTCTCTCTCTCTCTCTCTCTCTCTCTCTCTCTCTCTCTCTCTCTCTCTCTTTCTCTCTCTTCATCATATTACGCTTTTTTATCTCATCTCTATATTTAATAATCATGAGTTCACTCTCTTTACCAAAGGAGATTATTTCTCACGGATGCACAATTTTCACAGATTCAATTCAATGCGTAACTTTTGCTCCGATGCTTTTTTTACTATCAAAATTGTGGTAACGTGAACGTAACGCTGTTTTGTCGTAGCTCACTTGGGGCAAAGCCATAAAAACAGAAAGAACGAAGCAGACCGTCCTGGCGTGACTTTCTAAATTGCTCATCTTTACAGATTAGAATCCTCTTTGGTCAGTTGGGATCCATAAACTTTTGTGTCACGATTCGGTTATTAGTCTCAATTGCTCTAAAGAGAGAAGTGAGTTCCTTCTAGATAATATAGCCTATATAACTGATCGGTTTGCGCGCATTGCTGCAGTACATGTACTAACCAGTCCTCGTACAATTTTGTGATACTGTTTGTCATTTATTAACGAGTATCGAAAGAATAGCATATTATTTGGATTTGGCTTTATTTATATTCGCATCTTTGGGAAGATTCACAATCGTCAAAAATGAAGTGACAAGACGTTTTTACGATAGATTAAAATGATTATTCTCTTCCTATTTTGTTTTGTTTACTATATATATCTGTCTTTACTTTTATATCCTTCACCAACGAAAGATCCCTCAAATCATTATCGAAAGTTTTGGCATGGTTTGTATAATGTACTATGTGACATATATGATTATATATCGCTCATAAGTGTGCAAGTATTGCACATTAGGCTGTCAAGTAGACTATTTATTAATTTTTCATAGTAATGTTTGGAGAAAAAGGAAAATAATTTTGTAAATACGAATTTGTACAATTTTTGGAAAAATAATAATACACGATCATTATTGATCGAAAGAAATAAATGAAGTTTTGATTACGTTATAAACTTGGCCTTTATTTCACTCTTGTTACTGCGCTTTTGGTCTTTTCGTTCGGGTTACGTCCTTGCCTCTCCTTCGTGGCGTTGTCAAGAGATACCTGGTTTTTCTGGCTTTCGGTGGGGTGCTTGTTGGTCAGCAGGTAAATCTGTTCCGCTCTACTCTTCTAATTTTCCGCTTCAACATCAGACAAGAAGTATACGATATCATAAGATCCGTTTTAATCCTAACGTTCGTGCACTCTGTATGTATTAACAAATTCACAAGAGTGAGACGTTTGTATTGTCATTGCTGTATCAGTGAAGATGGGACCAAGTGATGGAGGATATGTGTGGTGGGAATGGATGGTAGCGCGCGATGACGAACAGCGGTTAGAGTATTACTAACTCGGAAAGATATTCAAAAGTCATCTTCTCTCTTAACGAAAAGAGGCTCCCGAAAGTGTGACACAATTAACGTATCCGTCCGTGTCCTCTTTACAGATCGTCCGAGAAACTCGTAGCGAGACGCGCGAGCGAACGGAGAGAACAATATCGCCAGGTACGAGCGCACGTTCGGAAGGAGGACGGTCGTCTTCAGGCGTACGGATGGAGTTTGCCGGGCAAGCCGAGCGCGCCCGTCAGACAACCCGTCCCGGTGCCGGTTTACTGCCGACCGCTGCAAGAGACCGAGCCGGGCATGAAGGTACGTATTATGCTCGTCAGGTCGATGACTTTAAAGATCGGTAAGATTGAGACATTCTCGGTGCAGATCTGGTGCGGTGCCGGTGTCAATCTGAGCGGCGGTAAGACGCGCGACGGCGGCTGCATGATCGGCGGGAGTGTGTTTTATGCCGCGGAGGCGCGAGAAACGAGCAACGCAAGAACGGACGCCGAGGACGCTGTCGAGCATCTGGACAAGGAGCTCCAGGAGAACGAGAACCGACGGCTCGAGGCGGAGCGATGGGATCAGCAGCTCAGTTCTCTCGTCTGGATCTGCACCTCGACGCAGAAGATGTCGAAGGTCACCGTGATAGACGCGAACAATCCGGCGGACATCCTGGAGGTGTTCAATGTCTGCCAGGGACACTTGCTCTGCATCGCTAGCGTGCCCGGTGCCAAAGAATGCGACTACACTCAGTCCTCGAATGAGAATTCGATTCGCACGACGAACGGGACTAACGACAGCGAGAACAACAACGGCGTCACCGAGGACGTTACGAACGCGAATGAGAGTAACGAGCAGAAGAATTATCAGGACGGCGAGGCCGACAAGAGCGAGTCCGATAATCCATTTGACGATCAGGCGAACGAGAACACCGAGAAGACCGCCGAGACGGATCAGAATTCGACCAACGAGCCGCAGAGTCTGGAAAGTGTAGACAGCGAAACGGCGAACCTGGGGAAGGTCAACTTCGTACGGTGCAACGCGGAGACGTTCCCGTCGCGGCTGAACGGCAAGGACACCGTGAACGAGGAGGCGAAGGAAGAAGAGGCCACCGAAGAGACGCCCATCGAGAAGATGTCGTCCATACAACCGACCATGTGGTTGGGCGCTCAGAACGGCGCGGTTTTCGTTCATTCAGCCGTGGCCAAGTGGTCGGTGTGCTTGCATTCCGTGAAACTGAGAGACGCTGCGTTAGCCATTGTGTACGTAAATTCTCGAATACTCGAATCTCATCTGTTCGTCGATAGATAACGGACGTTTTTTCCTCTTCTCATTAGACACGTACAGGGTCGGGTCCTGGTCGCATTGGCAGACGGCACCGTGACGATATTTCGCAGAGGCGCCGACGGACAGTGGGATTTGTCGCAGTATCACGTGATTACGCTCGGCAGCCCTCAGCATTCCATCAGGTGCATGACCGCGGTTAGCGGGAAGACCGTGTGGTGCGGATACAGAAACAAGATTCACGTGATCGATCCGATTTCTATGATGCTCGAGGTACGAGATAAAACGGCTTATTTACGACACGTCTGAAATCTCTTAACAAATGCAGGAGGTTTCTTGTTATTTCGTAAGACGTAACCTGCGTCTTTGAGAAATCTTCGTTTCAAGACGGCTCGGAGGTACATAAAGTTTGCTCACTGTAAAAAATGATAATTCTTCACAGTGCACAGTCGACGCGCATCCTCGCCGAGAGTCTCAAGTGCGGCAGCTCGCCTGGTTGGGCGAAGGTGTGTGGGTCAGCATCAGACTCGACTCGACGTTAAGGCTCTATCACGCCCACACTTACCAACATCTGCAAGACGTCGATATAGAACCGTACGTCAGCAAGATGCTCGGCACGGGCAAGCTCGGCTTCTCCTTCGTGCGTATTACCGCCTTACTGATCTCTTCGAACAGGTTGTGGATTGGCACCGGTAACGGGGTGATAATATCGGTACCGCTGTCGGAAAGTGAGTTGAACAACTAAGGAGTGTATGATGATGACATTCGCTGACATGACGTGTTCTGCAGGTGCGGGCGGCTCAATGACGGTGTCCAGAGTGCAGACCGGAGGTAACAAAGGCGACGCGCCGGGAGTTGGCGTCAGGATCTTCGCGTCGGATCGTGGCGTCACGCCGGGAAGTTTTATACCCTACTGTAGCATGGCCCACGCGCAGCTCAGCTTTCACGGACACAGAGACGCTGTGAAAATGTTCGTCGCCGTACCTGGTGAGCGTTTGAAATATAATAGCGAAGAGAATCGTCCATTTCTAAACGAGATCTTTTCTACATTTTCTCCTTCTCTTTTAGGTCATGGCGGTCAGAGCGCGATAACGGACGGAACGCAGCCAGCGATGCTTGTTCTCTCCGGTGGCGAGGGTTACATTGACTTCAGGGTTGGTAAGTACAAATGTTACAAGGTACATCGTTCAATCACGAATCTCAGATAAATTGTAGATGAATCTCATCTCAAAAATGTAGATGAATTTCAGTATAAATACCATTTGTGGGAAAATACGAATTCTTCTTCATTTTTATCGCGATTAGTTGTCGTTCTTTATGTTTTTGTAAAAAAAAAAAAATGTATCGTTTAGTAACCGGTTATTGTAATTTCAGCGGAAGAGGCTGAAGACGAGAGTGATGTGGCAACACACCTAATTGTGTGGCAGATGGTCAGGTATGCCCCCAGAGAGAAGCAAGAAGTAACTGATCCCTGTTCTTAACTTCGATCAACGTTCTTCACCCTATCCTGTTCTTAAAACGAACGTTTCATCATTAATCGGTGCATCCTTTACTAACAGAACGACGTTTCCTACTGTTGCACGGTACCAATAAAAGTTGACTAACAGCATCTCTGCAATCTAGATATTTCAAAGTAACGCAGAACGGATTCATCATTCTCTACACTGAACATACGTACGAATATGTGAGATATCAGATATGTACATGATCGCTTGTACATCTAATGCACATATGTGTGAAGTTTAACGTTAAATTTCAGGATCGATCGAGTGTAAAAGAAAAAAAACGTAGCACTCTGACTTCTTATGTAAAAATTGTAAAAAAAAAAGCATCGTACATTGCTTCTTTTATTCTCTGGGGGTTGGGCTTTCCCACCTGTCATGCATCGTATTTTGTACAAAGTGCCACTTGCACGGTCTCCTATCATTCGGGCAACGAACGACGTTCGTTCGCTATAGATGGTAAACTTGATATTATTTTTCAGGTGACGGAGATGAAACGGAGGAGGGTATGGATCGATCGAACTCGGCGGTCAGCAACGCGGAGGAGCACGGCGAGCAGAGTCACCTGATCGTGTGGCAGGTACAGTGTCCTTTACCGATGCCAATGAATGGCTAGCCTACGGACGGAGGTATCGAGCCGATCGACGGTTCGGCTTGTGACGCAACGTCGTCGATGGACGATCATTGGATCGTAGATTGTGGATTGTTGGACGCGATTATACCCGAGCGAGCGGTCTTCGTTGCCGCGAACTAATGCGCTACCTATTTACCTAGATATAGGTATCTTGTGTATAAGGATGTTGTGATACTACTGATCTAATACTGGTATCGATATTGTTCTTTTAAAATCGGACATTTTTTAATTGATATTTTCTTACTATATTCGTCATATCAACTATTTTGCTTCGGTATCTTCTTGATTTCATCTTGTTTTCTTATTTTTTTACTCATTCGACCTTCAAAATATCATGTATTTTTACTTCGTGAAGATTAATGTAATATGCGCCTTACGTTTTAAATCTATCTTTCCTCGTGATTTCTATTACGTTAATTTTATGATTATTTATTGTTAGCCGCAGTAAAAGGAAAGTGTCCAGACGTTTTTACAAGTGTACGGAGTCGATCACAGATGTCACTTGATGCGTATGTTGCTTTATTTCTGTAGAAAGAAAAAAAAACTGTAGAAAATCTAGTGCAAAAGATAGGAGTATCAATTTTTTTTACTTATTTACAATTTTTTTACATACTTAGTAATTATAGACATACGAAACTTTTAAAAGTAGCTTGCAAGACAAACGCTTCCCTGACTTTTATATTGTCTCTAATTTTAAGTTTTTCCTTTAAGTTTCAATACCAGTATCGGTATCGAGATTTCTGTTCCGATATATCGCTGGTATATCGCTGATGATATCGAAACTCTCAATTAGATATCATTTTAAATATTAGTATCGATACTTTCACGATATCACAACATCCCTACTTGTGTAACGATCGTAGCAGAGTACGTTAATGAATTCCGAAGCAGCTAGTGCGCGATTTCGCGAAGTTAGCAGAGCGACGGCGCCGACGACGACGTGTCATTTCTTTTATCGTAGTTTCACGAGCGACCGTGTTGTCCCGTCTTGCAACAGAAGCGCGTCGGGAGACTCGCCAGTATCCCGACGTCGCGACTAGAATTTTAATTCTTCTCAATGTCGACAACCTCTCGCTTCTCTCGCCGGTCAAGCCTGACTCTTAGGCTTTTGCGTACGAATCATGTGCGACGAATAGGATCGAATTGTACGCGCCAAGATCTTTCTCGTGCCGGTATTAGTCAGACGAGTGTTCATCCCGGAATGTCGCGCTCCACGGACGATCCGCAAATACTGGCAGACTTCCGTCGACCGTAATTTCCGGCAATCATTGTGATAATGCGACGAAGACACACGAGGCGATGAGTTCCGACGAGCTGCTGCCGTGACACACATTTGCTACACACATCAGCGCAATAAGGATTCGTTTGCTCCAAAAGTACCTCGCGTATGTACCTGTCGTTCGCGAGATATCGCCGTTTAATCGCCGTTTATACACGCGGTTTATACGCGCGTAGGATGTAACAAGGTGCGTGCGACTCAGGCAGACTTCTAGGCGTAATATAATAATATTATCTTACGTCGGGAGGTATATTATTTTCCTGACCTAACCGAATTTTATTCGCGTACAACGTATCAAGCATAATGATAACAATGATAATAATAATAATATTAATAGTAACATTATATAATAATATATTACGCCGTTTCCTCTCCTTGATCAAGCTCAATGATGTAAATAACAATATGTTTATATAGCGCCGTGTGTGTGTGTGTGTGTGTGTGTGTGTGTAGATCCGTGATTCAATTTTTCTTCAGCTGCACAGGCTGATCGTCTTACGTACGCCAAGCGACAAATTCTATATAACTGTGTATGCTGAATATAGCGTGATCCCAAAATTTTATCGAATTGACAAAAATCGGCTGCGTGCGATACACACACAATGCGGGCTGTCCGTCGACTGCAAGTACAACGGAAAATCAGCGGCCACTGGTATTTCTTCTGCATTCTCGTCGGCAAAAGCAGCCACGGCAGCGGGGGAGGCAGCAGTATTATACATAAGTAATTGTATAAATAACCGTATAACGTTCATTATTTGAATAATTAACGTTCTTTTCGATTATCAAGCATCCTTAGATCATCGTGCTCGGCGAAACGTAGCGTCTTTTCGCGGCTCGCGTGATCATTAGGAACGACGGGACCGACGATGTACATAACAATAATATGTTAATATAGCGCCGTGTAGATCTGCAATTGAATTTGTTTTTCTCGCGCGTCGGTAAACGGAAAGAGCGGAGTCTTTTTCACACGCGTGTGAACCAGTGTGTCCTCTCCTGGTTTTCTGCGACCTCAACAACGTCCACAGTGTACTACCAAAGAGGTGAAATGTAACACGATTCGATTATGTTGTTTGTATAAATTGCTGACGAAAGCTGTGTTTCGTATTCTCGCGCAGACGTTTGCATTTTTCGGCAGTTCGACGGTATCGCTGATAGTACCGATAATATCCCGGTGGTGATAAGATTTTGTAAAGTTCCCACGTCGCGCGCGCAACGACGGTTTAGGATACGATAGAAAGGCTGCGCTGAAATTACCGTGCTGAGCTGGCTTTCGATGTCGAGCTCGGAATTGTACCTGGCTCGGGTGGCGTTGTAACGACATTAATAAACGAAGTTGCGGAAACGAACGTCTCCCCCTTTTCGCCGCCATTGTTTTCTCCCGTCATTGCATTTCCGTCATCGAAATTAAATACCCGCGCGTGTACAGACAGTGACCTGAACTTTGCTTTTTCGCAAAACGAAGAAGGATCGGATTCTGTAATGAGTCGCGATTCTTTTCGGTCTAGACATGTGTATGATTTTTTCTCTTTTCTCGTAGGACTGAACTCACTACGCGCTCACAAGTGTCCTTTCGTCTTTCCGAAATATTTTCGAACTTCTTGGACGTGCTTACAATATTTCAATTTTGATGCCGCGCTGATCGATTTATCGCGTCTCCTTCAGCTATTTTCAAGTCGAACGTGAAACGTCTAGGGAAGTTTCGCGCGAAAGACATGAAGTTCTATTTTTATTATACAAAATGCGACGACTGGTTCATGCAAACTTTCGGATGTTCTAGCTTGTACTTTCGCTCGGATCCTCGTACGTTTTAATTAGTTGCATCATCTCGTCATTTTCGACGTGTCCGAAGATAGCGATATTGATTACGATAATCTAATCGTTGTACAGAACTTTCGAGGTATATGATATCATCTTTAATCTCTCATATTAATCTATGAAATATAGGTTATCATATTAACCTACGAAAGGCGTATGTTACATATATCTTTTCTTCATTTCCCTTCAAATAAGGGTTGCTGATCTTTATTGGACGGATTTTATCTGTCACGTGGTACGATTCCATTTTTATCGACGTTTTATAGCCGGCACGATATATTCTGCAAATGTCTCAATTAACCTAAGTAATTTATTAATTTATAATTTTGTATATTTATTTTTATGTTGTACATAAGCGGATATCTTTTGTTGTAAATGTTGAAATATATAATTTATCAAACCGCAATTAAATCCACGGTTTACATTGAGCGAGAATCGCGAGTTTCTTCAAAAGTGTGACTTATATGCATATTCAAACATTGCGAAGAGATATAGAGAGAAAGAGACAGCATACCGACATAAGTATACACATGTTTTAAACTTCGCAAAATATAGAAAAGTAAGATGTATGTATAACTAAAAGTATTCATCAGATCTATTATAGACACGATAAGTAAGGAAAAGTGTGTTTGCGCAAAAAGTGCAGCCGGATCAACGACCGCAGCTGAGTTCAGATTGAAGGGATCGGCGAACTCGGCCGAAGGATGCCGATGGTGTGCGCGCAGCTCGCCCGCTTCTTTCGAATAATCCCGCCGCCATTCCATCGTGAGGTTGCAACGTGTACCCCCCGTTTCCTCCCGTCACCGTTGGCGTCGACGTTACGTAGACACGGACACGATATAAGCAAGCTGCGGCCGCCGCCGGCTAGTTGTTTCCATTCGCCACGCCGTTGCGAGACGCCGGGAAACGCCTTTGCCACCGCGTTTATCGCCAGAAGTTACAGCAGCTGCGGAAAAGTCGAAACTACTAACGACAAGATGGCTTGCCCGGTCCGAGACCCTGCCGCGGAGCAGTTGAACAACTACAGGAAGACTCACAAGGTACGACGGTGATATTCTGTGCGATGCATCCTTCGTCGCATATGCGCGCGCGAGTGTGTTTCTTGCCCGATCAAGTCGGCTTAAGAGATGCAGCTGGCGAACACATACAGCGGTGCTCAAACAAACCGCTCCTCCGCGTTAAATAACGCGCGTGCGAGATTTTGATCGCAGCGCCGAGCGGATCAAGGTCTTTCTTCAACTCTGTTCTCATACGGAGAGAAGTTGAGTTCCCGAGCTCTCTGTTCGACTTTCAAAGACGAACTTTAGACTCTCTCCACGGAACGGAAATGCATAGTCGTGATTGTTGCTATATAGCGAACTCACCCGACTGGATCTTGTAATTTTTATTGCGCCTTCCAGATACCATGATTGAAACGAGCGAAAGAACCGTTTCGGCCCTCTTCCGCCGCATAATCTTGTTCTTTAATTTTCCCAGCGAATCGTATCAGCTTATGGATATGAGGCACTTAATGATCCGAAAGACGAGGAGCGAGAGTGACTTGGCTATTTTATATCTATAATAAGAACACGTTACGGATGTAATAAACGTATGTTCGCGTATAGGAGAGAATATGTCGTGTTCTTGATTATGAAAGATTCGCTCAGTTTATTGCGAATAGTAACGCATTAATTAATGCACCAAATAGGAATTGAGACACCAATGACGTAATGTGCACATAAAATGTAGTTGACTACGTTCGGGAAACGTGCAATATACGTTTAGTCGTTCATCTCGTTTACGTCATTTCTATTGAGTCTTCAGTATTTATATTTTTGATAGAAAACTAATAAAATGAGACGCGTGTGAGTATATTTTTGCAAAAAAATTGCAATCATCACTCTCTCCATCTCGTTTTAAGGTAATCTTTTTTTATTAATTCAGCGATATCTCAGCGACGCTGTTACGTGAACAGAATTGATATTGTCAAGGCACTCAAGTAGAATTCCGTCTATACGCTTGCGTTGAGTTTTTTAATCGAGATTGTATCGCGAACTATCGCAGCAATAAATTATTCGAGAGAGGAGGCGCATCGAAAGTGTTGCGTTCGAACAACCAATGCGCTTAAAGTTCGATCGAATATCGCTACGAGCAGGATATTGCGCATACATAATCGTTGCACACGCAGCAATATTTTCATTATTATTCAACGATTATTCAACAATCTGTAGCCGACTAATGTGCCTCACGACATGCGAAAGATACATTAAAAAGTGGAACGATCTATTAGATAAGATAAATTGCAAACACTTATACAACCAAGTTTGTGTATTGTTTCGTGCGACAATATCGTACGACGATATCGCGCAGAATATTGCGTGTTAAAGCATAGAAAAGGAAATTTTCTCGCGTGAAATTTCATCAGGCTGGTTTCACGCTCTGTAATTTACCGTGCAAATTATTGGATCTGGGTCATCGCGTCGTTAAAATTGAAACATTCATCAGGTGCGTATTTATGTTACCGACACTCAATTTGCCAGAACTTTCTGTCTTTTAACGTGAAAAAGTCTCGCGATAGACTGCCGTTTAAATATTCACTAAGAATAAAATGAGTGACTTTGTCTGATTGTTTCGAATATGACCTTTCTCTTGACTCCTTCGGCAGGAGGGCATTCTTCACTCTGCAATCACTAATGATTATGTTTGCGATCGGTGAAATTAAACACAGAAATATAAATATGTTTTTATCGCGGACTTGAGTTTCTTGTAGGTCGTTCGTTTGTCAATACCGGCGATTTTTGAAAATAATAGCAGAAGTCAGAGAAAAACATATTTCACCACATCAATTTTTTTCGTAGCTTACAAAAATATGAATCCTATAATCCAAGTGAAAGATAGTCGAAGTGTCTAGCTGGAACGTCCAACGAAATGATAACGCGAATTTCCGATCGCTTGTATTTTCTATTTCTAGGCTCATGCGATAAGCACGTACGGTAACAAAGATATTACCATCTGTGCATAAAATTTATTCACATGCAAGAGCATAATTCAAGCATTATTATTACGTAAGAATACATGACTGTGCGATGTATTTGTTTTTAGGATGTAATAAAGTAGATTATGCGTCGAAACAGCACAGTGATAACAGCCAATTGCGTAAAAATATTCAATTTTCGCAAAGACAGTGTGATAATTGCGAAATAAAATTTCTACCGTTTATCTTTTGTTATCGTTGAAATTTGTGAAATTATTTTAATCTGTATCTGTTTTTCGTCTTCTTTAATTCTAACGCACACGCGCTTTCCTCGCGTGGTGGAAAAGCGCGATCAAGGAATATTCATATCTGACATTCAAAGGCTCGCGTGTCGTCGAGAATCAATCGTCGGGAGAATCCGATAGGATTTCTAAAGTGTTTACAGCGCAGTTGCGCGCGGCCTTGATTAAGAGTGAGAGAGCCAACTTGCGACTTCACTGCAGTAATATAGCGTAGTTCGCAACCCTTGACAGATATCTTGAAACATTTAGATAGTAGAATCGCGTTGTTTTTATCTGCGTGTCTCTGCCGCTCTTGCAGAGATAATTTAAATATTGAACACAGTGTTAGAAAATCTCTTGATAGAACGGAGCGATTTACTTCGCACGTTAAATCACGTTGAATGCAATTTCTAATGGATACACGACCGTGCATTAAGAAAAAAAATGATTGGGTTGACGAGATTGACGAGCAGTCACCTTCATTAAAAAAAAAAATATTTTGCCCACCGAACAAATTACGCAACAATATTTGTATATAGTTGCCAAGTCGCATAATCCTTAAATCAATTGATAACTTATTAAAGCAACTATACAACTTGTTCGGTGGACTAAATGTCGTGCTTAAAAAAATGTTGTTCGTTTAAGCAAAGTTTCGTTGATTCTACCGTTTTCTTTTTCGTATGTTTTCAACGTGAAAATGACAGAGATTACGTCATCGTGATAAAGCGACGCGATATGAGAAAATTAAATATTTTCTTGACGGCATTTTTGTGGCAGCGTCTATCATGTTAATCAAATAAAATAACTGATTAAGTAAAGCTTATCACGTAAGATACTTGCGCGCGCTTGCAGATGAAATATTCACGGACGAGATTTTCATTCGACGCACTTAAAAAAAATTCCGCTTACTCACATATAATTTACATTTTAAACGAATTAGTAACAACTGCGCCGAACGCATCAGGTCGATAGTGGTAATTTAAAAATAATATAAGCTGTGTCACGGTTGAAAAAAAGCGATTTCCCAGGCATTGTGTGTTCGCCGTCGCTTTGCTAATCATTTCACAAAATCGCACAATTTGACGCGGTGAGGTGTGTTTTGCTGAAATAATCAATACGGCAAATTACGCTCTACTGATCAACTTTCGCGTAGATAGAAATCGATTGTTCTCGCGCGACGTTCTTGGTGTGTCGCGATTCGCCGAATACTGCATTGGTAATAAGCGATATTACGAAATTTTAAAAATTACATGAATTTAGAGAAATAAGTTAAATATAATCAAAATAATTAATAATACGATCGGCCGTATATTGTATATGTTAATAATACTGTTATTATTTCATATGCACAGTATATAATGTACATATTAATAAATCTTGAACACGAAAGTAACGACATTTAGCTGTTGAAAATGTCACGTGGAGAAACTTTATTTGCGCCGAGAAGATGTATGACACTACTGAAGACGTGGAAAATTTATGGGAAATTTATGAATAGCAAAACTCGCTCGCGCTCGTGCGTAATAATTCTTGTGCTCAATTTCAATTTTTTCTCTTACATAATCGATTAACTTTCAACCTTTCGTCAAAGAAAAACTGAGGTTTTGCAACTGAGGAAAGGCTTCTTCTTTTTTTTTTTTCGATTGTTGCTGCGGGCAATAAGGTGTAGCGACGCGTTATGGCTTATGACACGAGTGCCTCTTCAGTGTTATCGTGAACGATAATTACAGTAACAAAATGTTGAAGTAGGCCTTGGTAGGTTTAGATGATAGATAACCGATATTTCGAAAGAGAACCATTCTCCCCGAACTGTGCGCACTTTCAATGCGCACTATCGTGCGATTTTTACTCTATAAAACACCCACTCGACGCTACACCTCGTTTACTAGCGAAATGAGTAGCGACAAAGGATGCCTCGTTCATCGCGGCTTCTCTCTTTTATTCTGGAGAAGAAAAAAGAAGCGCAATCGCGGGACGAAATTCGATTGTGTAATTTATTTAGCTTCATAGTATCAGAAATTGAGCATAATTTATGCACAAAAATAATAATATACAAAATAAATCTATTTTGTGTTAACGCGTACACTTAGTTAGTAAGTAATTTATGCTTATCAACATTCTTGCAGGACGAACCACCTGTATTACTGACCGGGAATGGAGCGCCCATCTCTGAGAAGAAGGCCAGCCTCACGGTTGGTCCTCGTGGACCCATGCTGCTGCAAGATTTCGTTTATCTGGACGAAATGTCGCACTTCGCCAGAGAGAGGATTCCGGAGCGAGTTGTGCATGCGAAAGGAGCTGGTATGTTCGTGCATTTAACTTCTCAAAAATTACGAAATGAAGAATGATATCATTTTTCATCGCAACTGCTTATTGACTTTACGCGTAATCCCCAGGTGCGTTTGGCTATTTCGAAGTCACACATGACATCACCAAGTACAGCAAGGCTAAGGTGTTTTCCACTATCGGAAAGCGAACTCCGATCGCTATAAGATGCTCCACCGTCGGTGGTGAAAGCGGTTCCGCCGATACCGTCAGGTAATAAATAAAGAAAATGCCAATGCTGTAGTGGCACGCTGCTTGACTCTGACGCAAATGATTGTAGTAAAAATTCAAAGAAGATAAGTGCGTCGTTTCCTTTAACTATTTTCTCTCATTACCGTATTGCCATGTTCATCGACGAGATTTTCTTCCCCGCCTTTTTTTACTTTTTAAAGTGAAAATACACCTAATTCGAAGATTCTCAAGTGTGTTTCTCCAATTTCTATTGATACATTTATCGCAATCTTATTATTTTCAGAGATCCACGTGGTTTTGCTGTGAAATTTTACACCGAGGAGGGTATCTGGGATCTCGTCGGTAACAACACGCCCATTTTCTTCATCAAGGACCCTCTCTTCTTCCCGAGTTTCATACACACGCAAAAGAGAAACCCCGCTACGCATTTGAAAGTACGTATGCGTGATTTCGCGTCAACATTTCACACGTTGCGATCTTGAGATCTTGCATTAATGACATTTCTCGGCCTAGGACGCTGACATGTTCTGGGACTTTATTACTCTCAGGCCCGAAACGACGCACCAAGTTATGTTTCTCTTCGGCGATCGCGGTATTCCTGACGGCTACCGTCATATGAACGGTTATGGTTCTCACACGTTCAAGCTAGTGAACAGCAAAAACGAGATAGTGTATTGCAAGTTCCACTATAAGGTGTGTCTTCTTATTTCGAAAAGAGATGAAATAATTGTATCGTTTTATTCGCACAAGAATAATTGAATATTAATATTTAGTAATGCAATTTCAGACCAATCAAGGAATCAAAAATATTCTCGCGGAGAAGGCCGCCGAGCTCAGCTCTTGTGACCCTGATTACTCAATCAGAGATCTTTATAACGCCATTTCTAAGGGAGACTATCCATCTTATACTCTGTACATTCAAGTGATGACCGTTGAACAAGCAAAGACTTTCAGGTGGAATCCGTTTGACCTGACGAAGGTGATTGTCACTTAATCCAATGAATAATAATTGTAATCAACATTTATTTACGCAACTATAGTAAATGCAGCGCGATCAATTGAAAAATTAAATAAATCTTTGATAGATTTGGCCGCACAAAGAGTTCCCGCTGATACCGGTGGGCAAGCTGGTGCTGGATCGCAATCCTGAAAACTACTTCGCCGACGTGGAGCAACTGGCCTTTGACCCGGCGCACATGGTGCCCGGTATTGAGCCGAGTCCCGATAAAATGTTGCAGGGCCGACTCTTCGCTTATGGCGACACTCACAGGCATCGTCTCGGTCCGAATCATCTTCAGCTGGCAGTAAATTGCCCGTACAAGGTGAGAGCTCTTTCAACGGTAAATCATCGAATTATTAGCCAGTCAAACGTACGAGAATCCAGTTGTAACCAGTTCCTGGCTTTGTCGATTTTCTTAGCGGTAGATTCTACCTTTTCAAGGAAAATCCAAAACTTATCCGCATAATATATATTTCCTCTTATATAATTCACCTTAACAGTGATATTATACGTATTAATACAATTCTTCGGACCACAGACAATCTCCGCGATGAACTATCAGCGAGACGGCTTCATGCCTGTGAGCAACCAAGGCGGCGCACCGAATTATTATCCGAACAGCTTCAACGGCCCGAAGGAGTGCCCGGCAGTGCGCCCGCCGAGTTTCCCGGCGAACGGAGAAGTCGATCGTTACGACCCCAAGGATGAGGATGACTTCGGCCAGGTCACGACCTTCTGGAAGAAGGTTCTCGACGAGCCCGCTAGGGAGAGATTGGTGAAGAACATGGTTGGAAGTCTGCTTGGCGCTTCGCCGTTCATCGTCGAGAGAGCCGTACGAAACTTCGCCCAGGTCGATGTTGACCTCGCGCAGAGATTAACGGAGGGTCTGCGCAAGGGTGGAATGACCATAAACGCCTTGGGCAGATCGGCCAATCTTTGAAGAGGATGTGTTCCGCTACGACCTTTTTTTATACTACAGGAACGTAAAATATTGCATCGATCGGATACGTTTGATTATTGGATTACCGCTGAAACGTTTATTTCCTTCATATTATTCGAACTATTGTACATCACTTTCAGCGTATGATGCTAATTACATTTAACATAATACTAATATATCTTTCTTTTTTTCACGAGGGTGTAGGTATATAACTATTGGTGGTGCCTGTAATACAGTGCCTGCATAATAAGGCACCTATAGGCATAATGCACGCTAATTGTTTGAAGAAGATCGAAATACATCGTATAATCGCTCGTTATCTTAAGATACCACGTTTTGCTACAATATACATGTGTGCTGTTAAGTTTTATGGTGTTTTCTAAGCACGATGGGGATTTGTATGTAAATAAAACCTGAAAACGTTGAGAAAATGCATTATATATCCCGACGTGTCTGCTGAGACGTTCGCTCCTCTCTTGCTCGTTCCTTTATCCTTGAACGAAAACAGATTACAAGAGATACCCGATTTTACCTTCATTCGCGAATTCAAGGTAGGCGGCAGTGAGTCACACACAGCCAATTAGGGTAACTTGTACAACAAAGACATGCATTTAAACTGCACTCGAAAGCACGTCCGCTCGTCATTCGTTGTTTCAGAATCGTGCTGAAAGTCCGTCCCGTGAAATTCGCGACAGGTGTGCTTCGGGGAATCCCATTTCTTTTTTTGCGCGCGCGCAAGTGTATTTGATAATTAATTGTAAACAAAGCTCGAGAGGCGAAAGAGCTACGAAAAATTGCAACTCTATTTTAAGACACACACACACATGGTGTAAACGAGAAATCGTCAAGGATCGATAGAAAGTTGAAAAGTTCCGAGTGTCACTTGTGTTTCAGGTTTAAACGCGCGCTCGGCGCGACACTTCCGGTTGAACACTCCTCATCTGACAGTCCGAAATGTTGTAGGTACACAACTCACAGCTGTGATCCAAAATTGCGCACGGTCATCAACGCGGGATGCTGCCAACGAGCACGCGTATTCGCAGATAAATCCGATGTGTCGACAGGCCTGAAACTCCGCTGCCGAAAGCCGAAGGTTTCTCCTCTTCTCGCGCGATCGCAATAGACAACCTCGCATTAACCTGTACATAACTGATCATCGGTAAAAAAACACACTCGCTCACGCATCACGCGCGTATTTACAGATTCTGGCTGCAGCTTCATCGTAGGTGTTCTTTTTATAGATAGGCTCTGACCTCCTTCGCTACTCGAAGAGAGAGCATTCGACTAGCAGTCTTTTCTGCGTACAGACCATGCTACGGCCAGCCTTTTAAACAAAAAATATATATATATATATACATCGACACTCGACGCTATGTCAAACAGGTACATATCAAACTGTGTTTATATCAAGACTCAATGGACCTAGCCATCCTTGTTCCTTCACAAATGAAGTCTCATGTATTGTATCTGGTTCTTTATACTGAGATCTTGTAACGGGGTATTATATTTGATTATTTCTACAAACATATGTGACTGATCCATTCGCATTCTGTGATAATTGTCAGTATACATAATCCGACGATATTTTGTCAGGAGCAAAGTTTTGGTCAGTGCTGGAGTAATATGGGGTGTAATTCTTTGCTGTCTATTATACAGCCGCAAGTTGAGACCCATGGCATTGTTAAATTTTATTCCTGCTATCTTACATCGGTATCGGTTCACCATTTTGTCTGATAACAATGTATAGTGTTCACAGGATTTTGTGTTTGCTTTGTTACTAATCACACGGAATAACTAGTGTATAGAATTTTTAATATTGATCTCTTAGACATTTAGTTGAATATAATAATTGAAAGCTATATTATATTGTTCTTATAAAATAATTCTTGTCAGCAATGTTTGTTCTTTAATCATTATTTCAAGTTTGGAACTGAATAACCTGTATCCTAATGTACTTTTTATTTATCTCTTTCATGCAAATTTTTTTTATTATATAGCAATCAAAAAATGGAGAATGAGGATGAACAAAAACAAAAACATAATGTTAACAAGGCTAGTACATCAATAGACTGTGATACTAATGTACATAAAACTGCACAAAATGAAGCGCAAGATAGGTATGTGATTGAAATTTATAATTAAAATATATAAGAAAAGTGGTATATAAGGAAGAGTGTTTTTCTGTTTACAGGCAACCAACTCCAAATTTCATGATGGGTGGATTGACAGCAGCGTCACCACCAAAATTCGTGTCCTTCGATGAAATTATAAAAGCTGCCAATGGAATGAAAAATATGGCCTTAGCGCACGAAATCGCAGTAGACAAAAATTTCCAACTGCAGAAACTGGAGCCAGAAGATGGTAGTTTTCATAGGCGAGTAAAAGAAATAATGCATAAAGCTTTTTGGAATCTGTTAACGGAGCAGTTGGCCGAAGATCCACCAGATTATTCGCACGCACTGGTTTTATTGAAAGAAATTAAAGAAGTAATAATTTTTTTTTTTCGTTTACGACAGTAGAAAGAAATATCAGATGTTACTTGATAATACGTTTTCTTTTTTATTTCAGTCACTCGATGAGTTGGTACCACCGCAGAATTCGAGAATCAAAGATAATATTAAAGAAGTGCTCGATCTAGATCTAATCAAGCAACAAGCGGAAAAGGGCGTTTTAGATTTTCATCATTATGCCCAATATATAATCTCTATAATGAGCAAGATATGTGCGCCGGTCAGAGATGAGAAAATCAGAGAGCTTACACAACAGACGGACATTATTGAGACGTTCAAAGGTGTTATGGAATTGTTGCAATTGATGAGATTGGACTTAGCAAATTTTACCATTACTATGATGAGACCAAACATCATCGCCTCCAGCATTGAGTATGAGAAGGCAAAGTTTGCCGAATTTTTAAAAATCAATTCGAACGGTTTACAATACACAGAAAAATGGTTATTGAAGCATTTCGATGCGGAGAAGATTACAGGCTCGTCGACCTCTGGTACCGGTAACATAAGACAACTTACTCATTCACTGGTGACCGAGGCATACCTTGATCTTCTAGAATGGGATTTCAGTCCAGACGCTGAAGTATGACATTAGTTGTATTGCAGTATAATATTTTATTTTACGATCTGTTCATAAACCCGATATTTCACTTAGACATTGATGTTGGACCAAGGAAGGCTGTTGGAATTGCGCGACATAACTAGTAGATTGAGTGTCGTCGGCGCTGTGATATTGTTGGTCAATAATACGATTGGCGCACCAATTCACGGAATTTCAAGCTTTAAGAAGAATATTAAGGAGCATCTGAATGTATTATTGGATTCTGTACATTCTAACAAGTATGTTCAACCATATATATGTATATGTGTGCGACGTTGTGGCTCGGTGCCATCATTAGCATTACTGATTGTAATTAAAATATATTAATTATTTCTTTCATTTCTTTTTTAATTGCAACAATGATTTTTTGTTGTTTGTATTATGCTCCGTATTTTTTAATATAATTTTTAATATAACTTGTATTTTCTTTTCAGAGACTTGGAGGCTGCAATGCCGAATATTGTGCTGCAAGTAAAAACTGATGTCAAAACGACATTACAGGAGATCAATGCTCCTGACTTGTCCTCGGAGCTGGAAACATTATTGGAAGGTCAGATAACTGACCTGATAGATACGAAACATAAGATCAGATATCTCGTCAGTGAGTATAATATCGAGCATGATGATTATTCGATCGACATATCTTTTGCCACATAAATATCTTTTTTAGGCTTGCGAATTAGACAATTTTTGCAGAAGATCATATCCTCGCAGTCTATTGCGCCCCAACAAGTACCACCAGGTCTCTCCTCACTGCAAGAGGAACTAACAGCGATCGCTGCTCGATTCGTTATACTTGTTGCGCATAATCGAAGCGTATTTGGAGAGTATTATCAAGACATTGTTGCAAACGCGCTTGCAAGAAGCGACGTTGACAATAACAAAGAGATACACGAAGCACATACTATGGAATTGTAAAAAAAAAAAAATAGAAAAATGGGTTTAGATATGTATTGTTAATCTACTTGGATCTCGCTATGATATTTCCTTCTACCGTGCAACTTTTAACAATCCAGTTTTGTATCGCACATAAGGAAATAACGTGAGACAAATAATTGGTTCTTTTTTTCGAATATTATATTGAGACACGTTATATCGAAGTACGAGTGTGTATAATTTTTCATATTTATGTCCATTTAATTGTATAATGGACGATATTCACAAATTATATACATGATTAACAAAGTAGAAAAGATATCTATATTTATTATTGCTATTTATGATCGACGATGATATTTCATTAATATAGTGACATTGTATCTTTTTTTCTATTATAATGCACATATTATTTACGATACATTTTTATTGATGTATAATATATTCAATAATAATTTTGGCAACGGTTTTCTTCGTTTGGTAGTTCAAAATAAATCGATTTATGGATTTTGAATAT